CTCACTGGAATCTCTGGTCCGCACCGGACCAGGTGGTTAATCCCGTCATCGCTACGGAATAGCCGTAATTGGACAAGAACCTTGACTGAATCCAGAAATCTCCATTTTTTTATATTTCATAGATATAGAATGAAAAAATTGTCATAGATTTGATTTCATGATGCCTTGGTGGTGAAATGGTAGCCACGCGAGACTCAAAATCTCGTGCTAAAAGCGTGGAGGTTCGAGTCCTCTTCAAGGCATACTCTTTCGAATGCGAAGAGAGCTCGGATCGATCCAATCTGTATATCAATACCGATTCGATCAATCCGATGAGAGAATCTCTGTTTTACATGAATCCAATTTTGATTTCATCCGGGAAAAGCCATCTTTTTTTCAACAAAGTCTTTGTCATTTGATCCAATAGTGTTCCGTTAGATAGGAACATATTTGATAAATACTGATAACTCTCGGATAGAGTATTAGAAAGGAAAGATCCATTGGATAAGGAACTATTGGTTCTAAGCCATTTCTGACGATGAATCAAAAATTCGAAATGCTTTTCTTGCGTCTTGTTGCTAAAAAAGCGTGTGTTTTTAGATAAAAACATATGCTCAATTTGGGACGTAAGAAGTGCCTTTGCCATCTCTTCCTCTGCAAATAATTCTCGACGTGAAAAAATAGAGCCTGGGGTCTGATCTTTGAATAGAAAAAAGAGTGGATCTGTAGGATCCCAAATGAATTCCTTGGCTCGTGTCTTGTATTGCATGGTTCCCCTCTCCGAATCATTCTCTTCATAGGAAACTCTCAGAAAGCCCCAAGGGCGCCAGAGTCTAGGAGCCCAAACTATGTGATTCAATAAATCCTCCTCGATCTGTTGTGGGCTTTCTTCAAACTCCGATTCATACAGAAATTGCTGATCAAGGATAGAAGAAGATCCCACCAGAGCGCTTTCCACTTCTAATAGGCCATGAACTAGATCAGAGTCATTCTCAACAAGTCCAGAGGAAGTAATCCCATTTTTTCCGGGTAAAGACCAAAGATCTTGAGCAACCGATCCGGCCGAACAACTCAAAATATAAAGAAGGATCGTCAATTTTTTCATGCTCTTTCCAAGTTCGAAGTACCACTTGTACAAATAAGAATCCCCCTCGTTACAGGATTTCTTCTTCCGATAGAGAGATATAGGATCTATAGGGCAATCACGTATAAGTTCATTTTGTGCTACAGCCCTTCCTATCTGATAGAAAAGGATTCCATGATCCTGAACCAATCATACCTGGGATTGCAAATCCTAAGTTTGTCTATGAAGTGCGGATCTAATTGTATTCGTGTCTAGAATTGATTTCTTCTGTGTAATACTAATTGATAGGACCTCATTGGTCAGTGCTACAACATCTCGTACATTGGACCCCATAGTGATGGACCCAAATCCATTAGTATGGAACATTTTCTTTTCCAAGTGAAATCCCCTCGTATAGGAAAGAGTGAAAAAGGACTTTCGTTGTTGTGGACTAAGAAGCCTTCGTAACTTAATACACGTATTTAATTTTTTCGGAGCTATTAGAGCGGGATCCACTTTTTGGGGAAGATGAGTCGAAGCAATAACAAGATGACATTCCCCTTTTTTTCAATCTAGTCATTTATTTTATAGGAGCAAAGAGAAATACTAAGGTTCGCGACTTAAGGATAGATCATAACCACCACCCACATTCCAGAACAGCATAGACGACAAATATAAACTAATAAACAAACCCGAAATTCCGTAGAATATCATGACCATCCCTTGAGGGAAAAAGGCTATCAAATTTTGACTAAAAATAACTGGCAGTGCCGACTAATATGAATTCTAAGGAACCAAAAAAGAGGATAAAAGCCCATACAAAATTACTTCCTCTTCTAGACCCCGGGATAAGTTCTATCCATATCTGTTCTGATCGCCAACTCATACTTGATCTGAGTTTCTTTTATTCGCATTGTGAAAATACCCCATTTAACTAGTACTAGTTTTCTAAAACTTAGCACTAGTTTTCTGGAAATGCTTCGGAGTAATTCATCAACTTGGTTAGATCTAAAATAAAAATGCAATTCAGATTAAAGTTTCACTTTTCAAAAAATGTTTACCCCTTTGATCCTAAATATTAGGGTAACCTTTTTTAGAGCAGTATTCAAATAATAAATCTATGTGAAGAAAACATTCCAATTAATTATGATCCCTGGCCTAATACGGGGTATCTTTTATTTTATATAGGGAAATTTTTAGAAAAAGACTCCGGGACTTTATTTTCATTCAAAGCGCATGTATATTAAATAACTCACTAATAACGTTTTTTAAAAGATGGCGGGGTACAATTAAGTCAAAAAACCTTTTTCAAATAATGCTTCAGCCTCTTGTTCCTCCTCGGGGATAGTTTCATTTAATATTTGTTGAACTACTCTTGGACCCGCAAATGCAACGAAAGTACCAGGTTCGGTAATAATAATATCACCTAACATAGCAAAACTAGCTGTTACTCCACCCGTTGTTGGTGATGTAAGAATTGATATATAAAATAATCTTTTATTTGATTGATAATCATATAAAGCAGCAGATATTTTAGCCATCTGCATCAAACTTAAACTTCCTTCGTGAACACGGGCACCTCCAGAAGCAGACAGTATAATAAGAGGTAATAAATTTTTGGTAGCGTACTCAATTAACCGAGTTATTTTCTCTCCTACTACGCATCCCATACTACCTGCCAGAAACCGAAAATCCATAACCCCAAGTGCGACGGGACAACCATTTAGTTGGCCTACGCCTGTTTGAACAGCATCAAGTAAGCCTGTTTCTTTTTTATAAAAAGCCAGACGCTCTACATAAGGGGCATCCTCATCATCTTCTTCGTTTGCCTCCGAATCTTCAATTTCTTGCGATTCTTCGCCCTTATCCAGTTCCCATATCCATCTCTCTTCATCCTGTGATTCCTCACCCTCATCCAAGTCTGGTTTCGTCCATTCCTCCACTTTCTCTTCGGGTTGAATGTATTCTGGGAGCCAAGGTTCCTCAATTAAGTTGGTAGTTCTTTCCAGTGCCTGGCCTTCCTTCAAGTTCTTGGATAATTTGCGCATGAAAGCCTGACACATTTCCTTATTCCATTCCTTAATATTGTCCTCGTAGCATTCCAATTCCGCTTCAGAATCAAATTCACTGGAATCGAGAGAAACCATGTCTTGATCTAGAGGATTCCACGTCCCTTCATCAATTAAAAGGTCTATTCTATCTGAACTAGTCATTTTAAAATAAGATCCGCATTCCTCACAAATTTGCATGTTGGATTTCAACACCTTATTATAATTTGGAATAAAACAATTTTCACATTGATTCCACAAATTCCTATAATGATCTGGATTTCGGTTGCTTATAAGGTGAAGTTGTTCTTTTTTAATAAATTCCGTGCGGTCTTTTTGTTTTTGCTGGGATTTTTCATCACAAAAAATCAACTCATTAATATACCTATAAGTGTCAATAATTACATCTTTTTCGGTCCAAAGATCCTATTCAATTGGACTAGGAAGAATAGTTTGATGGGGATCATTCTCCAAAATATCATCGGTAATATCAAAATAGATGGCAGATGTTTTTCCGGTGATATCCCTAATGATCAGAGCTTCAGGGTATCGGTATCGATCCCCGCCAGAACTGGCATTCATACTCTTTTCACCAAGACTGCCAAAATAAGACTCTTGTTCGAATTCCGCCTGAAAGGAGTTATCTATCCAATTTTGCATCATGGTATTTTTGTTCCTCCTTTTGGAAAAAAAAAAATTTCAATAAGATAAAAAAATGTGGAACTCGAATAAAGTAAAAATCCTATTGAATAAAATAAAAGAAATCGTGAATACGAATACCGTGAAAAATTCTTGATTATGATAAAAATGTATTGAATAGAGTAAAAAATCATTGACGACGATACGAAAAAATTTAATCTGAGAAGAAAAGCGTGAATACACTCAAGAAATCTCGCATAAATCGGATCAATAAAAAGTGCATCACTAAGATCAATCACCATTGAATAGATAATATCAAAAACTTTTCCATAAACTAAAAACCCTAATGAAAAATGCAAAAAAAATAGTGAATAAATGTAAAAAAAGATTGAATATGATAAAAAAGTATTGGTGAATGTCATAACAAGATATTGAAAACAATGACAACATATTGAATAAAGCAAAATCCAATAACAAAGTTGTGAATACGATCAAAACGAAGTGCTGAAAGTAGAAACCCAAATGAAAAAAAACAAACTGAATGTATTAGTATAATCATATTGGATTGCGATTTTATAAAAAATGATTTGAGAAGAGGAAAATAAAAGAGATTGGAATAACTATTTCTGTAGGAGACAAACACATTAGCCTGCAAGCATATTGAAAACAGGTAACAGCCTTCAATAACGAATAAAAAGAACTCTTATCTATTCTTTCTCATAATTCATTCTATATTTTTATGATATTCATCTATTTATGGTCTGTATACAAGACAACTTGCTGTTTAATTATTTTGCGTAAATCACCTTGTTTCAGAACTTTGAATCCTATATTCTATATATAGCAATACAATACATGGAATTAATTACCCTCGTATACGCATTATAAATAAATCTAAAAACGTAAGCAACTCGTTAATTTGTAGTAAATTAAGCTCAATCCGTTTATCTTCTCGTATTTTAATTTTATTAACAGATTGCGCCGAGGGGTCGGTCAGTTTTCCCTTAGAATTTCCCCCCTATGCTTTATTTACTAACCCTATTTTCGCGTTATTTTATCTCATTTAGATCCAAGGTATCCACTGATTTAAAGTTAAATTGAATCTCTTTCCATACTTCACAAGTAGCCGCTAGTTCCGGGCTCCATTTGCTAGCCTGTTGAATAATTGAATTGCCGTCCTGTGCAAGATTAAGGCCTTCGTTACGAGCTTGTACACATGCTTCGAGAGCAACTCTATTAGCTACGGCACCTGGTGCATTTCCCCACGGGTGACCTAAAGTCCCTCCACCAAATTGTAGTACAGAATCATCGCCAAAAATATCGGTTAGAGCAGGCATATGCCAAACATGAATACCCCCTGAAGCCACGGGGAGAACACCGGGTAACGAAACCCAATCTTGAGTAAAATAGATCCCACGACTTCGGTCTTTTTCAACAAAATTATCTCGTAATAAGTCAACAAAGCCCAAAGTAATCTCCCGTTCTCCTTCCAGTTTTCCTACTACAGTACCTGCATGAATATGATCGCCACCAGATAACCGTAATGCCTTCGCTAGTACACGGAAATGTATCCCATGATTCTTTTGTCTATCAATAACTGCATGCATTGCACGGTGAATATGAAGAAGTAGCCCGTTTTCTCGACAAAAGTGAGCCAAAGAAGTATTTGCAGTGAATCCGCCTGTTAAATAGTCATGCATTATAATTGGAACTCCCAATTCTTTAGCAAAACAAGCTCGTCTTAGCATTTCTTCACATGTCCCTGCAGTAGCATTTAAATAATGTCCTTTTATTTCACCGGTTTCAGCTTGGGATTTATAAATTGCTTCAGCACAAAATAGGAAACGGTCTCTCCAATGCATAAAGGGCTGTGAGTTTACATTCTCATCATCCTTGGTAAAATCAAGTCCACCACGAAGACATTCATAAACGGCTCTACCATAATTTTTAGCGGATAAACCCAATTTTGGTTTAATAGTACATCCCAACAGAGGACGGCCATATTTATTCAATTTATCTCTCTTGGATGCCATGAGGTGGGCCTTGAAAGGTTTTAGTATAAGCTGGAGGTATTCGTAGATCTTCTAGCCGTAAAGCTCGCAGGGCTTTAAAGCCAAATACATTCCCCACAATTGAAGTAAACATGTTGGTCACCGAACCTTCTTCAAAAAGGTCTAAAGGGTATGCTACATAAGCAATATATTGATCTTTTTCTCCAAACACGCGCTCAATATATATTTATATAAGAGCCTATCGCAGTTTCTATAGTCTTTTATCCGTTTGATTTAACGCCACAGAGCCTGTTTCTGTTTCTTCTACTTTGCACGGAAAATGAATCCTATTGGTCGCCTTGCCGCCCACCGCCCTACGACAATGCCTTCACCGCCCCACTATCGATCACTGGCCTCGTATATCTTCCCTGGGATGCATTCGCCTCTTCTACCAGCTTCATCTACATCGAAATTCCTCAGCTCCCTTCGGCAAAGGCTAGGTAAACCTCCCTATTCTTTTCCACTTGTTCCTGCACCATTCCCTGCATATTCCCCAATTGAGCAAAAACGGAAATTGGTTTGAGCAATAAACTGAAATTGTAATTGATTTCCAAGAGACAAGTGAATCAAATTTCTAAAGAGAGATCTGGTTTTTGAGCTACTTTCCAACACAAAAGAGAAGGCCTAGGGGGTGAATTTAAACAGAAACCTGAATTGGTACTGTTTTGATTCCTCCCTACTCTTTTATTTACAGTTACTCCTGCCCCATTTTCTGTATTCCCATCTGATTTTTTGGTTGAAGAAAACATATTAAATAATGGTTTTATTTGTTCCCTTATTCTGTCTGGTCTGAAGCTTAACTTCTGTACCTTTGATGACTTATTTGTTCCCTTATTTGTTCCCTTATATTTTTCTAAAATTGAGAAATAGAATCCACACTACACACTGTGTTTTTGATGATTATAAATTCATTTCACTTTTCTACGTTGTATATATGTATAGGTATATGATTATTTTTTTAAAAAGTCATTTCTCAAGCAAATCGTTTACACTATGTTTGGTTCAATCAATTTGAATGGGAAAGGAAAAGAAAATGAAAAAGGCAACAATTTGTTGTTCTACTGTATATATATATCCCCAAAGTAGTGATGCAGAAGCTTTCAACTGCACTTCTGTTATTACTTATTAGTATGTGAAGAATTGAAAATTTGGAATATGACTCAGAAACATCACATTCTTTTATGACTCCATATTTGTAAACTCACCTCACACACAAAAAACAAACCAAAACCTTTATGTTCTAGGAGACTTGGTTGCACTGTTAGAGGTGTTTTCACATATTAGGTGTTTTCGCTTTTTTTTGAACAACCTTTGAGACACAAACTGAATTTGTAGTTGATTTATTGCAAGAGCGAAGACGTCATTAATGGGCCGTTGTTGTTCAAATGAACAAGTTTCTTTTTTTCCCAAACATCCTAAGGTCTTATAAGTTGAATTACTCAAATTTGTTCGTTTGGGGGATGATTTTAAAACCTAAATCAGCACTGTCCAATATCCATCTTTAATAACCAATATGCATCTCTTTGGCCTGTTATGGGAAATCTGGCACTTATTTTTATGGGAAAAATGCCATTTTTGGGGGATGCTTTTGAAACCTAAAGGCTGACTATAATGAGAAATTTGGTAAAAAACACCTAAGAGGTGTTTTACATGGTAATTTAAATATAAAGTGCAAGGATTCCAACGTATGGCGAAAGTAATAGATTTAAAACTAAAAGAGTGCAAAAGTAGAGAGTATGTATGACAATAGAGAGGGAGTTAAATATCAATTCAGTTTTTTTCTCACAACCAAAACAGTGCAAAAGGAGAAGTTTAAATGGTTACTGATTACACATCTAAGAGATTGCAAAAAAAAAGTGTTTCACATGGTAATTTAGGCATGAAGTGTGAGCATTGCAATATAAAGAGTAACCATTTAAACTTCTCCTTTTGCACTGTTTTGGTTGTGAGAAAAAAACTGAATTGATCTTTAACTCCCTCTCTATTGTCATACATACTCTCTACTTTTGCACTCTTTTAGTTTTAAATCTATTACTTTCGCCATAAGTTGGAATCCTTGCACTTTATATTTAAATTACCATGTAAAACACCTCTTAGGTGTTTTTTTGCACACTTTTTGTTGTAAAAAAACTAATATTCCATACTGGGCACCAACGCACATATTTAGTTTATTTTATTCCTTAGTTTATACTTAATTAATAGCTGTAACATTTGAACTCCCTATTACTTTTAGGTGTTCTCTTCTACTTCTATAGTTTTGATGATTTGGAATGCTTAGTGTGCATATAAATTCATTTCCTTTTTCTTGGTTTGGATTCATAGGCAGAAGTTTGCTTAAGATACATACATGGAATATCATGCACTAAAAAAAATTAAATCCACCTGTGATTTCGAAACTTTAAGAGCTGGTTTTAAAACTTTAAAAGCCCCCAAACAGACTTGGATTATGATTTTCAACCCCAAAATGAAAATTTTGAACATTCTTTGAGAAAGAAACTGAAATTGTAGGTGATATCCAAGAGACAAGTGAACTTTTAGACACTTATTTTGAAACAAAAAATGAATGTGAAGCTTATTTTTATGGAAAAACTGAAACTTTGGGGCCTTTTTTCAACATTTTTAAAGCCTGAGATTCATGAGAAATTTTGTACTTTAGGGTCTGCTTTCCAAAGAGAGGTCTGGTTTTTGAGTTAATTTGCAACACAAAATAGAAGCTCTACTGGGTGATTTTTTAAAGAAACCTGAATTGGCAATATTTTGATGGTAATCCTGGATTGACTACGTTATTTTGGAACCTAACTTTTAGATTCTAACATTTTTCAATTCCTTGAGTTTCTTCCAACATCCAATTATGTGTTTCCAACCCAAAAGAACATACCTTGAATATGCATAATTTATTTGTACACATATTCCTTAATGTGTGAACTCTGAACCGTAATTAACCACATAATTTAACCTGAAAGCGTCATTCCCTAAGAAAGCACATGCACTTTTTACATGACCTATGTAGTAAGTATCTAAAAACCTCATAAAAATTGGAAATCACGAAAAAATGAAAATGACATAGTACTTTTTTTCTTAAAAAGAGATAGAGAAGATGAGGAATGGAAGAACCTGCAATGTTCCTTAGCTGGTTTAGATCCCACCAGGATGAATGGGTCTGAATTTCTGCCTCCAATCTTCTCTGGGCTTCAATGGCTTTGAGCTGGAGTTAATGATTGATAGATAATTATTTCCCACTAAATTTTTTTATGTAACTATTCTCAACTCAAGTACCAATTTAAACATCTATTTTGGCTTCTCTAACACTTTTTGCATACCTTATTCAAAATAAGTTCCCAGTGAACTCTGAAAATACAGTTTTTCCAAATGTATTATTTTGCTTCTCCTCTTTTAAAGGGGAAATTCTCCTACTTACGACCTAACTTCTAAACAATGTAATTTCATTTTTATCTTTAGAACGATTAACTTATTTTAGTGCTTAATTATTTATGCAGGTGACTCTTGTACTGATCTTGGTCTTTCTTGATCTCTTCAAGGCACAATTTAACTTCCTTGGTATGTTCACACACTTTAAAATTACGCTTGTATTAATTTTTGTTCTTTTAAAAAAAGGTGCTTTCTAAGTACTTCACCCTTCTTGGAATTAAGTCAAAGCCTTGGTATAATACTCTCTAAAATTTTCGTTCTTCGAATGTTTAATATGCAATGCATGCCCTGTAATTGCTTCAAAGGTATTTTAAGTTTACATACGTTTAAGAAATATTTAAATTTTTATAATGGAATGTTTTTAACCCTACTTCAAAGGTATTTTAAGTTTACTACTTTAATTTCCAAACATGCAACCCTTTGATTAGTCATAGGTTTACTTGTAACTCCTCAAAGATTCAATGGAAACTGGGACGTCATCAACTCAACCAACATTTGATAGAGATCGGAGTGAACAAAGAAACTTTAGGCGCCGTCTTAGATACCGTGAGTTACGTGACAGTGAAAAAAATGTTGCTTCAAATATTACTAGACTGTGCCAGTTCTTCCACTAAAGGTGTAGCATTTAACTCATTTATCGTTTCTAATTTACTTATATCTTTCTTTGCATTCGACGGAACTTCCTAATTTCTTCATGTTTTTCCCCACTCTACCCTTCTTCAAAACTTATAACAATGTCACCATTCCACCTACAACTATATATCATATTCTTATAGAATCACCGACAAAGTTTGCATATCAGGATACAATTTATTCTTTAAAGAGAGTGTTAGACTGTATTTTTTGTGGTGCAAGCCGCATCCAGTTTAAACCTCTTGGGTTTTGCTGTTGCCGAGGTCAAGTCGTTCTTTCATCAACACAGATGCCTCCTACTCTAAAAGACTTATATATCGCCAATGACGTCAAAGGAAAACAATTTCAATCTCTTGTCCGCACATACAACAACATATTTGCGTTCACGTCAATTGGTATATATAATTATGACAAAGATTTATGCAGGAGAAATAAAGGAATTTACACCTTTAAGGTTCAAGGACAAATACATCACTTTGTAAACGACTTGCTTCCAAGTGGATCTCCACCTCGAAATTTACAACTCTATTTTTATGATACCGATCACCAAGTTGAGGATAGAGTACAGACATCAGATAGATTAGACAAAGAGATTGTAGCTGCTCTTGTTGAAGTGATTTCAGACAACCCATACGCTCAGTTTTTTAAGAGTCTGAAAGACATATGCAATGATGCAGAATTTAGCATTAAGCTACATAACCATCCAGGTTTGGACCAACGAGTTTATAATACTCCTACTGCCTCTCAAGTTGCTGCAATATGGGTGGAGGATAACAACAATGGAAGTCCAGAAATCAAACACATTCGTGTTTACGCTCACAGTGGTAGATCACAGAACATACAATATTTTTACGGCTGTTATGATCCATTACAATATCCACTACTGTTCGCTCATGGGGAGGTAGGTTGGCATACAGGCATTGATAGGGTGTTATCAGAATTGCAACGGCATTTAGCACGAAACACACAAATACCCTATGTCATGCCAGGTTTTAACATTGCACATACAGCTGAGGACATAATTGAAATGGAAGAAGATAATATTCAAAGTGGAAAAAAGAGGAAAACTGTTTCATGCAGAGAATATTACGCTTATAAATTTCAGATACGCCATGATGATTCAAGCTATTTGTTACACACCGGAAGGCTTTTACAACAGTTTATGGTTGATGTGTATGTTAAGATTGAAACCCAACGGTTAGATTACTATAGACTAAAACAGCTTGACCTCAGATCTGAAACATATCAAGGCGTTGTTGATAGCATGCAGATGGGTATGGTATATACGGTGATGATGTTGGCCAACGTGTTGTTCTTCCGGCTTCATTCATAGGTGGACCTCGGGATATGCGAAAATGCTACCTAGATGCAATGGCAATTGTTCAGCAATATGGGAAACCAGATTTGTTTGTCACAATGACGTGTAATCCTAATTGGCCTGAAATCAAAGAACATCTCCATCACAGAGATGAGGCACAAAACAGACCATATCTTGTATGTAGAGTCTTTCATGCACGTTTGCAAGAATTCAAAAATGACATAATCAAGAAGAAGTTTTTTGGGGAAGTTGCAGCATACATATACGTAATTGAATTTCAAAAGCGTGGACTTCCCCATGCACATTTTCTTATAATCCTCAAAGTTCCTTCAAAAATTCAAAATCCCAATTCATGCGACAAGTTTGTTTGTGCGGAAATACCCGACCCTCTACATCAACCACGTCTATATCATAGTTATCAAGGCGTCGCCTAGGCGTCGCCTAGGCGACGCTTAGGCGTCTGGGCGAGGTCATATGGACGCCTAACTGCTCGCCTAGCCTTTTTTGTGCAAACACCGGAGAAGATGACTGGAAGAAGCTGAGAGAGGAAGAAGGAGGAGAAGAAGATCTGAAGAAGACGAAAGAGAGAGAGACTGAGGAAGATCGAGCTTACCTTACTTGCCGACGCTGATTTATTGTCGCAACTGCCGAGATATCCAGCGGCTCCTCTAAACCCTCCGACTCTCTAACTCTCCAATTAGTTATTTTAGGTTAACTAATTTGGGCTGAGTTTATTCAAAGAGGAGTGGGCCTTTACACTTATTAATATAGTTGTTTATTAAAAGAGCATTGGGCCCAAATACTATTTCACTTTTAAAAAGTTTAGAAATATCAAAATATTTACTTATTTTTCTTAATATATATTTAAATTTTATTTTTTTGAAAAACAACATTCATTCATATATTTTAGAATATATACTCTTTATTTTTTGGGGTTCATATGTTCTCTTTAATTACTTATTTCATATTATATGCTTTTATATTAATACCTATAAAATATTAAAGTTGTCATAGCCACTCGCCTAGAGGACGCCTAGGCGGACGCCTAATCGCTTAGGCGATTAGAAGGTACCCGAGCGCCTAGACTCGCCTAGTCGCCTTAACAACTATGGTCTATATGCACTTGTTAAGAAACACATGATACATGGGCCTTGTGGCACCCTTAATCAAAGTTGCCCATGTATGACGAAAAAAAGGGACAGTTAACAGCCTCCTGCAGAAACAAGTACCCGAGATCTTTAATTGAGGAAACATCATTTGGTGAAGATTCATTCCCTGTCTACCGTAGGAGAAGTGACACTAATTCTGTAGAAATACGTGGCTACAAACTTGATAACTCCTGGGTGGTACCATATAATCCCCAACTTTTGTTGAAATTTGATTGCCACATTAATGTTGAGATCTGTGCTTCAATTAGATCCATGAAGTACATATATAAATATGTTTACAGAGGACATGATAGAATTTCAATTGGAATCACGAATGATCAAAACACTCCTGCTCTTGACGAGATAACAGCTTATCAAAATGCAAGATGGGTTTCGGCACCAGAGGCAGCATGGAGGATATTTGCCTTCACCATTGCCGAGATGTATCCCCCCGTTCAACAATTACAAGTACACCTAGAAAACTTTCAGTATATCAACTTCTTCGGAAATCAAAGAATCACAAGAATAGTGAAAGATGACAACCTGTCAAGCACAATGTTGACAAAATTCTTTGAAATGAACCTACACGATGTGACTGCAAAAAGACTCCAACTTCTGTATGTACAATTCCCAGAGTTTTTTGTTTGGTCAAACACAAACAAGAGGTGGACGATACGAAAGCGAAAAAATGTCATAGGACGACTTGTGAGTGTTAATCCAATTGAGGGTGAAAGATATTATCTTCGCATGCTACTCCAACATGTAAGAGCTCCCACATCGTTCACCAGTCTAAAACTTGTGGATGGTTATACAGCGTCCACATTTCGAGAAAGTGCAAAGAGAATGGGGCTTCTAACAGGAAATTCTACAGCTGATGTTTGCCTTGAAGAGGCTGTGATGTATCAAATGCCCAGTAGCTTGTGAAAATTATTTGCGACAATATTGGTGTTTTGTGACATTCCAAATCCAAGAGAGTTATGGGCTAAATACAAAATGTATCTATATGAAGATTTTTCGCAGGTACACATCTACACTCCATTGGAAATGGAAACAATGACACTAAAACTTATTGGAGATATTACTGAAGCACTTGGAAAAAGTATTCTCACATTCAACCTAACAGACTGTGCCATACCCTTAACAGCTGCTGAAATTCAGGCACGAGAATTAAGATCAGAATTCAACATAAATATAAGCGAGCAAGACCTTCAATGCGCTCAGATTCTCAATAGCGGACAACAGATTGCATTTGACTCTATTATGAAGAGTGTGACATCCAACAAACCAACAGTGTTTTTTGTAGATGGCCCTGGTGGCACCGGGAAAACATTTTTGTATAGAGCGTTACTTGCAACAATTCGGAGCAAAAAATGGATAGCTTTAGCTACTGCAACATCAGGTATTGCTGCTTCTATTCTTCCTGGAGGCCGCACGGCACATTCTAGGTTTAAATTACCATTGGATGGAAATGATAAATACACCTGCAACATTGGTAAGCAAAGTGCAATAGCAACATTACTTAGAGAAGCACGAATCATCATATGGGATGAGATTACAATGGCTAATCGCGGAATTATAGANGGAAAACATTTTTGTATAGAGCGTTACTTGCAACAATTCGGAGCAAAAAATGGATAGCTTTAGCTACTGCAACATCAGGTATTGCTGCTTCTATTCTTCCTGGAGGCCGCACGGCACATTCTAGGTTTAAATTACCATTGGATGGAAATGATAAATACACCTGCAACATTGGTAAGCAAAGTGCAATAGCAACATTACTTAGAGAAGCACGAATCATCATATGGGATGAGATTACAATGGCTAATCGCGGAATTATAGAGGCATTGGATTTAACACTTAAGGATATTATGTCCTCCGATGAGCTATTTGGAGGAAAAGTCATTGTTTTCGGAGGCGATCTACATCAGACACTTCCTGTTGTCAGGAATGGAAACAGACAAGACTGTATAAATGCCTGTATCGTAAAATCGTCTCTTATTTGGCCAAAGATGATACGCCTCACTTTAGAAGAAAATGTTCGGGCGCAGGCTGATCCCTCCTTTTGTCAGTATTTAATGAGCATTGGAAATGGGTCAACGCCAACTATAAGTGGTACAAACATCAAAATTCCACAACAATTCCTTGTCCGTACCCCCGACAGTTCAGATTTGTTATTGTCCCTCATCACCGCTGTTTACCCAAACTTGAACCTCTTTCAAGAGGATCCATATACGTTGATGGGGAGAATAATACTAACTACTACAAATCAGTACGTCGATGAAATCAACACCATTATAATTGGAAAATTTCCTGGAGAATCAAAAACCTTACTCAGCTATGACGAGCCACTAGATGAAAAATACAGAAGTTGCCAAGATTTGTTGCACACGTTATCATTTTCAGGTCTACCACCCCACACATTAGTTCTGAGAAAGAATTGTCCATTAATTCTTCTACGGAACCTAAACCCGTGTGAAGGCCTATGTAATGGAACGCGCTTAATTTGTGATGCATTTCATGATCATCTAATAAGTTGTTTCATAGCTTTTGGTGAGTATAAGGGAAAGCATGTCTTCATACCAAGAATTCCACTTGAAATGTCTAGAGATGAACGTTGCGCAATTCCATTTAAGAGAACTCAATTTCCCATCAAACTCTGCTTTGCAATGACAATAAATAAATCACAAGGTCAGACACTCGAATTCGCAGGAATCTTTCTTAGGCAACCTGTCTTTTCTCATGGACAACTATACGTTGCAATGTCGCGGGCCAAAAATGCTGCATCCATCAAGATGCTTATCTACGATGAAATAGATAATTTGAAGACGACAAATGTTACGGCAAACATAGTGTACAATGAAATCATTGAATACCTTACATAAGAAAGCACCAGGTTTGTTGGATTTTAATGAGTTTTGTTGCCCATTTTTAATATTTTAAAGTACATGTCGCCTATTCGAAATTTAATTTCATTACAAACTAATATACTACATTTACTTTTTTCAGAACAATGGATGCAAACCAATATATTACGGACGTCACTCCCACTTCTAAATCATGGGGTTGCAAGGTCATAGTGACAGAGAAGCTTAACGAGCGTCAATCAGCAAGGGGAGTAACATACAGGGCCATGATCCTGGAGGACAGTCAAGTAAACTTTCATATCCCACATTTGTACGCAAATTCTTAAAAAAAACCACTTATTCTCACAGTAATAAATCTAATTTATACATAGGGCCATAAGGTGAAAGTAATGACCTACGGACAGGATATCATCATTCTTGACAAGCGGCTTGAAGTGAACAACACATACAAGATTTTCAACGCAAAAGTTTCCGAAGCCACTCAAGGGTTTGGTGTTCCCGATGAAAGTTACAGACATATCTGGACACTTAATCGGAGGACAATGATTCACGATGTCAGCTCAAAAGAGAAAATCTTAATTCAACCAAGTGCAGAACCTGAGATTGATCCATTCTCTCTGTTCTACAAAGCGATGCTTACAAATAAAAAGATCAGTACGTGACACAGATTTTGTTTACAGAAAAAAAACATTATGTCCTAAAACTATATGTACTTAACATCCTATTTATGTTCTTATATCCTATGGAACTACAGATGTACTTGCAGTTGTCATTGCCAAACTACAGCGCAACTTCGACTACACAAAAAAGGGCCAAAAAACGGCAAGTGACTTCATAATCATCGACCATGAGTACGTTCCAACATTACTTCTATCTTTTTGCCTTTACTATTTTCTTATTTAAAATTAACTAACAATATTATGTTTCACCTAAGAAAAATAGTTGTTGTTTCTTTTCCAAAAAAAATCACCTAAATTACCGGTGGTTTTCACTTTCTCTTTTTTTCGACTGATCAGCCCACATATGAATGTCGGCTTTCTTACAATCATGATTAATTGTACGGAGTTTTATGCTTTATTTTTAACTGATTAAGCAGAATTGATGTTAAAATTTTACCCAGAAAATACTAAAAACTTAGGGTCTTTAAATTTTTAAGACTTTACTGCATTGAAAAATTTATAATTGAGGTGGCCATTAATTGACTTGGAATATGTTATTTTTAAATACTTGCTCTTATTTTTAAAGAGGATAACTCCTAAGTGTATGCTTGATATACACCGGCCTGCCCATTTGGTTTATCATTTCAGTGTACCTAAAGTTAATATATTTATCAATGTGAGCATGCAATAATACTAGCATAGTGTTGTTTTCTTACCATCCCTTTCCACATGGTGGCTAACATGCAAGTAAAAGGCAGTGAACAACCTTTCATCTCTACAACCTTTTCCATTTCATTAACAGATCTTCTCATTTGGTTTTACTTCGAGCCGTAATTCAGGTTGTCTTCTGTCACTAGACACACCATACTTACCACATAGAGCCCGCATGCCTTCGTTTAGAAAAACTTTTTGCAACCATCTTATGAAGAACTAATGTTAGAAACTGCCTTTGAACTATCAAAGATATAAAATCAGTTAACCTTTACAGAAAAGGTACTCTTAAACTATGATTGAGAAAATTGAACTCAAATTAGTGTTGATCATTTAGTATTTTGTTTCGCGTTACACATAGTCTGTCTTCCATTTATCGTTTAAGGCCGTTTGTCGCACTCTTGCTTTTACACTAAGGAACTGTACAGGTACTGCACATCAAACTAGGCGATGCCTTACTTCACCTTGATTGCACACCAAGTTCTACGGGGTATTTCATTCATATCTTCATCGACGGGATATACCCCTTTTGATTCTTCTTCATGTTCTCCGTTTTCCATCTTTTTTATCAGGATTTTCCCCAATGTAGATAGCACCACCTAACTGCTTAAATTATTCAAATTCGATATTACTAATTATGACCCTATAGTTTTGTGACCTCTTATGCACCAGCTAAGTGATTTAATAATTATAACCCTACAATTTCTTTTCTAATTGGACCGTGCTTTGCATATTACTGTTTTCTAACTTGAAAAGGCATTCTTGTAGATGCAAACCTATCACTTTCACACTGTGGGACACTTTCGCAGAAGTCCAAGGGCGCGAAATTCAGCAGACACTGCAATCAGGCATTTATCCCACAATAATTGTAAGGAGGATAGCATCAACATCTTTCAAAGGTAAATGCATAGCATTATTAACATTACACAATATACCCCATGCTCATATACTATACACCTCTACGGCTGAACTTAAACACAATCATTATACCAGGGCTATCACTGACAACACGATCTGATTCGTCAATCGAGCTGAACCCAGTCATATCACTTACAATCTTACATCAAGTTTGGATGAATGGTAAAGCATCTTTTCTTTTATTAATCAATCATTCCTTTTCAAAAAATATTGCATTTATTAATTCAGTATCTTGCAGGAAGTCTTCAAATACATCTGTCATAGAGCACGCCATTGAGACGAAAAAATGGCTGGACCCCTTATCTCTGTTTGCAAAGCCTGAAGATATTCAAACAACACCAATCTCTGAAGTGGCACGAACAACAAATGAGGTCAATACCACATCAGCCTGCGTCTTATATAAGTTTCTTTTATATTGACATGCAATTAAAATTTCTCCCACAAATTACAGAGCAATTATTTAAAACAAGAAAATTAGGAAATACCTGATATCAAAAATACTACACAAAAAAAGAGAAAAGAAGAGAGGGTAAAGAACCCCTGCAGAGGACAAGATCTTGTAGATTTGAGTAGTTTAACTTATAAAGTAAAACCTGCATCTCCCCATTCAATAGGCTAAGAAGCTAGCAACTTGCCGGTCTTTGCATGGGACGCCGGCACCGGTGCCCCTTCCTCTGTACGTACTACCGTTTTAGACTTATTTGGGCTAGGCAAGTTTAAACGCCTTCGCAGCCCCTACTCCAATTAACGTAAGTTTTCCTTCTTCAATTATACAATCAAAACATAGGTATTGAAGAGGTAAGATAGCTCATCTTCAAACTCATAATCTGTTTTAAAATCTGCCCCTTATTGTCCGGTTTCTTCTTTAAAATCAGCTTGAAATCCACATTTTTTCCAAGAATTAGTCACTAATATTTGACTTTTCAGGTAAATTACAGAAGCAAATATTAGTCACTAATATTTGACTTTTCCACTAATATTTGCTTACACTCAAGAATTGACTTTCTTTAATCCCCTTTCTTTTTAAAATAACCCCTACAGGTTCTGTTTTATCTTAGAAGTTAACTTCAAAATCAGACCTATCTTTGAAAATCAGCCCTTAAAGTACCAATTTTCTCATGAAAGTGAGCCCTAAAAGTTTTGACACCAGCCCTTAAAGCCTTTGTCTAAAAGTTTCACAATGCCAATTAATCTGCCCGAATCGGGACTACTATTTTGGTGCTATTTTGAAACTATACAAGACTATATCCCTATTCAATGATATGATTCTGATCAATTGGTTAAGGCAAACTGAGGAGGATTTCAGCCATTTTCCAAGATTTCCCACTGCTACCCCCCGTTGAAGTCCAGGCCATATCTCAGTCCCAATATGGCTAATCATCCCAAAAGACCAGCCAGGCATCCTTGGCTTGGTCAGGCTTTACCTGAGGAATTACCTTATACTACGCAGTCTCATAAAACAGCGCTTTTTAGCCCTAATTGTAAACTGGAGGCTGCTACACCAGAGCGAACCAACTACGGAAAAAGAAAGATGCCAATCGATTATCCAACCATCCCCGCATACATAATAACATAATAGTAATATAACATATACCTCTTCGATAGCTCGCTTCATACCCCTAGCTGTTTTTCCTTGCTAAAGAGAGAATATCAAATTATATCTCTAATAGAAATATATTAGGCACTGTGCCAATATTTTGAGTCAATCTAGACGATATAAAAACTTATACTATGCATGTCTGAGTGTGGTATAAACTCACTGTGCCAACTAAATAAAATGTGTCATCATCTAAGTTACCATGAGAGTATTTGGAGGACCATAATATGCTCCATATATCCTTTCAACTTCTAATATGCATGTCACACTTTAATTTGAACATATACAAATATAATACATGATCATACAGGGAGACATCCACTGGGTTGAAGGACAGTTGCAGGTCTTAGAAACTGGAGACATTACATTCTACATTGGTTGCAGCAGTTGCAACAGAAAATTGGACTACATAGAAGGAATCAATTTCAAATGCATGTTGTGTGGTGACCCTGAAGCAAAAACCATAAAGAGGTAACCACTTCCTCTTTACCACGAAAGAACCTGAATCTATTTTGCAATCCGTGCTTTCACCTTATGAATACATATGTCTAATCTATTTTACAAATCATTACAGATTCAGAATTCTGTCCGAAATAAAAGATGAAATTAGTGCTCTACAAGTAACACTTTTCACCGACACACTTGAAAAGATTGTACGAGCACTTGAATTGAATACACCAATGGAGTTGCTAAAATGCGGGGATTTGAACAACAGTCTTGCATCTCAGAAGGTAACGGCTGCAGTGCAACTACCACCTTGCACCGACCAAACATCTGCATCGAAGACATTCTCACTTCTATCCCTGTACGACCTCCGTCATGAAAAAACATCAAGTCCAACGTTAAAGAGAAAGATGAAAGTTGAACAACCCAGCCCCAAAAAAACAGTGCTGAGGTACTGCTACCTTGGAAAGCTTAGTTCAGTACATGTGCAATGCATTTTGTTAAAAACTTACCCAAATGTTAAAAACTTACTTCACTACTACTAACACCCAGCTACAAGTTACGTATTTTGTCACCCCCCTCTAATACAGTTTGTAAGTTGTAATATATTACATGTAATGTAGTCACCACTCTTTTGTAACCATCACTCTTTTGGAACAAAATAAGTTCCAAATTTTGTCAGCCTCTAATACAGTTTGTATGTTGTAATATATAACGGGCCTATTTGGTATTAGCTTTTAAAGGCCCAAACGCTGCGTTTAGGCTTTTTTACGTTTGTTTTACCCCATCATCATCCAGCGTTCTTCGTCTCTCTCCTCCTCCCTATTCTTCCGCACAGCTAAACGTAAAACGTTCTCACCCTCCAGCGTTCCTATCCTTAATTTGGCGTTTGAGATCAATTTTCCTCTTTTACCCATGAAAATTTTAGAGGGAAAACTTACCGCCTAATCCTATGTGCATACCGAATAAAGCCACGATTTGGGGACGATTTGGGGATCACAAAATAGGGTTCTAGAGCAGCTCGATGGAGGCCTCAGATTCTTTGCAAGTAAGTATTTCAGTTTATTTTACTAATCTGATTTTTGTAGCTCATAGAATTCTTTAATCATGTTTGTAATTTTTTTAAATATATTACCCAGAAGATGATTTGAGTGGTATAGTAGTATAATATACGGAGTAGTCAGTTTTTTTTTTTTTGAAATTTGTATGTTTATTGGATTATTAAACAATTTTTTATGGAAAATTAAAGGGTAGGAATTCATTTTCTTCAATTGATTAGGTATAACTCATTCATGATGTCAAATATATAATCACTTTGTTACGGTTAATTATCAAGTGTGATATACACCTTTAGTACTATGCTTCTCTTTAGTATTTTAAATCATGGGATTCTATTGTTTTTCTTGGCCTTGAAAGATTCTGTTCTGAGTTTATATTGCAGCTTTGATTGGTATTATGTTTGTTGGACCAAACAGTGGATGTTCACATATGTGAACATATGTACTCTTAGAGTTTCTATGGTTGCTTACAACAATTTTTATTTATTTATTTTCAAGCTTCCATTTAAACAGACTCCATTTTGTAGTCAAGTAATCTCCACTATTTTGTTTGGTATTTTTTATTTTTTAAAAGGGTATTTTCAATAGTTTATAGTAGACATCATTTTAAAACCAAAGTATGATTAAAGTATGTTCAACAACCATAAAAACTCCTTTCTTGAGATTCTACTGAGCATAATCTTGTGTTTTGAGCAATTGAGCTTATACCATACTACGTATATATTTGCAGTATCATCTCTATTTTTCAGTTTGTCCTTGCGTAGAAGTTAATTTTCCTAGAAAATATGATGAATGATTCAACTGTAATGTGGTTGGCCTTTGCCTATCATATTCAGTTCTGGTTTTTACATGTTTTCCCATGCATCATTTTCTAAAGTTTTGATACCCCACATTTTTTGTGGCATGTGTTGAGGCAGTAGCAAATTCTCCATATTACTTGTTTTCTAGATTTCTAACTTGAGTGACCAATTGAGCATGTATTGAGTGAGCATCAAGTGAGTATGATTTTTTATCTTGTTTTCTTAAATTAATATCTTAGAAAGAAAAGTTGCTTACTTCTTGGCTGATGGGTTGCAATGGCTGCCCCGACTGCAATTCCTGGCCAAGTGATGTCAAAATTTTCTTGACAGGCACTAAAGTTACTGTCAAAACTTTAGTACTGAGCATCTAAAGTTGCTTTCTTAGATGGTTTTCTAAACAGTGTCATAGTGGTACACATGTAACTAAATAAGTGCACTAGCAAGTATATTATGTGAAAAATAAACTACAATTCTTTTTTAAGGCAATGACTGGATCATGAAAAATAAACTACAATTCTTTTTTTAAGTTCAATTGTACGTGTTAATCTTATTCATTTGGATTAAAGTTTATATCTTATTATGTCTTGAGCGGTTGAATCCATTTGTTGAGGTTGGATTTTCTTACTCTTTAACCTTTTAAAGATGTTAATACTTCTTCACTCATAATGCTCAATGTTTACCAATACTTTTTTAAAGCTCAATTCTCAATCTAGTCAAAATGTTCGTGAAAGAGCACAATGGGAGAGAAGTCGTGTCATCACGTTCTGTGATATCTGCAAAAGGGAACTAGAAAATGGTAATAGATCTGGAGGAAGTTTAAAGAAGTTTGCATGGACTAACATAGCCATTAAGTTAAAAAATGAGACAAGACTTACCTATGATAGTCAACAAATGAAACATAAATGGGATACATTGAAAAAAGAATGGAAGAATTGGAGGATCCTCAAGAGACTAGCAACCGGGTTAGGGTGGAACCCACGTAAAGGCACTATTGATGCTACAGATGATTGGTGGGAAAGAAATATTAAGGTACGTTATGTATTCTCTAGATAGACTTTAAGTACTGAAATTTACTTGAGATAAGTGCTATTGCTTATGCTCGGTTTGTGTTAACCGTATACTATTAATAAAAGTATTTGAAACTATGGTTTATTTATTTTATAGGCTAATCCAGAAATAGCCAAATTTCGAGCTAAAGGCATTGATCCTGAGTTGGAAGACAAGTTGGGATTTTTATTTGATGGTACTGTTGCGAAAGGAGATGATATGTGGTCTCCCTCGGCTAGTTGTCCTCCACGACGATTCTTCGAAGCTTCATCAAGTTCTCAAATTCTCTGTGAGGATATTGATATTCATACTACACCTTTGGAGGAGTTTGGTGTTGATTTAGGCATCCCCGATCTAAATGATGACCATGAAAATGAAGGCACTAAAGAGAGCTATACAAGTGTTGAGATCATTGAGAACCCCATAAAAAAACGACAGATCAGCTCATCATCTACACAAAAGAAAAAGTTATGCAAGAAAAAGTTTGGAGGAGCTTCTATGTTGTCAACAAAAATAGATGAAATTAAGGGAGAATTTGACAAACATAGAGAAACTATCATGTCAAGAGTGAACAAGTTGCCTCCTACTATTTCAGAAGCAGTTGAGGTGCTAATGGCCATGAAGGATGATATTCCACCTTGTAGCACCTTGTATCGATTTGCAACGAAGCTCTTATTGGACAGAGACAAACGTGAAATTTTTATGGCCTTAAAATCATATGAAAATAGACTCTGGTATTTGAAAGTTGAAGAAAGTGAAGCAGCAGCAAATGAAGCTCAGACTTTTACTAGTTTATTAGGAAACAATAACTCCAACTTTTCTTTGTAGGTTGTCTTTACTACTTTTTCTATGTTAGAGAATTTTAGCACCGTGAGTTAATTTATTTTCAATTATGTTAGATATTGAGACATTTTTTTAGGATAAGATATTTCTTTGTTATTGTTATATGAAATGCCTTTAATACTTAAATTTTATTTCGTTGATGTGTCATTTGTAATTTTTAGAGATATGAATTGCTATTGCTTTTAAAGGTATATAACATGTTATGAATTAACTGACTCATGAAAGATTTTTTTAAAATAATTTTACAGATGATTGGCCAAAGTATCTTCGATGATAGTGAAATAGAAGAATGGGAATTACAAGCCATTTTGAATGAAGATATGAAGTGGACACATTCAGGAACCATATTGATGAATTATGTTGAAGAGTATTATCGCAAATATATTCTCAAAACACCTTGCTTCACTTCAAGACAACGTGGTGAGTCATGGGTTAAAGAGCTTTTAGATGGTCATGACATGAGATTTTATAATGCGTTTAGAATGAAAAAGGATATATTTCTTAGTTTACTTCATACTTTAGAAAGTAAGTATGAACTTAGTGGTTCAATTAATATGTCAACAATCGAAGCACTTGCGATGTTTGTATATATTTTGGGGCATGGAGAGTCCAATAGAGAAGTACAAGAACGTTTTCAAAGATCTGGAGAAACAATTAGCAGATACTTTAATATGGTATTGGAAACCATTATTGGCATGGCTTCTGATGTGATTCAACCATCTGATCGACAATTTAAAGATATTGCAGAACAGATAAAAAATGATTGCAGATACATGCCACATTTTAAGGTAAATTGTGTTATACACACATAGAGGTAGACATCCACATGTTACAACTTACATAAGTCAAATATAACATGAAGTGATTAATTTCTAACTTACAATGTTGCAGGATTGTATTGGGGCAATTGATGGAACACATATCCCAGCTTCCATTCCTGTTACAGACCAATTACCGTATATCGGACGAAAAGGGGTGCCAACGCAAAACGTGATGGCTGTGTGCGACTTTAATATGTGTTTTACTTTTGTATTAGCCGGTTGGGAAGGATCTGCTCATGATGCAAATGTATTCTATAAGGCTCTACGTCAAGAGCAATGGAAATTCCCACATCCACCGCCTGGTACACAAGCATATATTTATTTATTTCATTTCTTACACATAAAATATTAGTTAAAGTTTTACGTATTATTACTCAGTATTCTATTATTGTAAATGATAACATGGTTTTGATAACAATAATATTTCATATCTTATAGGAAAATATTACTTAGTAGATGCAGGATACCCTCAAATTGCTGGTTATTTGGGACCTTATAGAGGAGAGAGATACCATTTGTCAGATTTTCGACAAGGAAGACCACCATCAGGCAAAGAAGAGATATTCAACAAAGCTCATTCTTCTTTACGAAGTGTTATAGAAAGAGCATTTGGTGTTTTAAAAAATAAATGGGCTATGTTAAAAGTCATGAGAAATTATCCATTTCCCAAACAGGTTTTGATAGTGATTGCTTGCATGACTTTGCATAACTACATTCGTCGGCATGCTGGTAGCAAAGATTATGATTTTTCGGAGTTTGAAGACGAAGATGATGAGTTCGAGGAAGATTCAGATGATGAAGAAAGTTGTAGTAATCGAAGAGGAAGTAATGAATCCGCAATGAGTTCGCTTAGAGATAAAATAGCAGACAATTTAATGAGATATAGAGTTAATCTCTAAATCTTTTTTAACCAAATTCAATAACTAATTATTTCCAATTTTAAATACGCTTAGTTTTTTTTAACATAATGTTCAATTCTTATGGTCTTCTAAAGCATATACGGAGTATATTATTTCGGTGTACAATAGTTCATTGAAGTTAATTTTAGTTCAATATATTTCATAATTGCACATAACTGTTTTAAATAATAACTACAATAACAACACTATTGACCACGAACTAGGTTGTATGAAAGAAGAGGTAACATGATTTTTATTTTTTCAAATTAGTAACAAAAATAAAAAATGAAATAAACTTGACTATGTAAATAATAAATATATAACTTAATTTACGACAGAGGGAATTTATTCTTGGTTCATTTCTATTCCTTTTTTTATTTAAAAAACGAATCCATTTTTCTATTCACTCCTAAAAATTATTTTAAAATTTTGGTAGCTTAAAAAAAATATTAAAACAATGGTAAAAAGTGACCGAAATAAAATTAAAATCAACAAAAAGTTTAAAATTTGAGAGTACATGTCGAAATGGGTGTTTTTGTAATTTACATCACATTAGCTTTTTTAAGTGATCTACTGCCAAACGACAAAAAATCAAACAGCTAATCGCCAACTCTAATGCAAACAGCTAATCTCTAACTCTAATCTCTAACTCTAAACTCTAACTCTAAACTCTAACGTTGTTCCCAAACAGGCCCAACATCTAATGTAACCAACACTCTTTTGTATAATATTAATATACTTCTACTTAGTCAAAACATTCATATCTGGGCACACACACACGAAGTGTGTCCCATGCTTGTGTGTGTGTGTGTGTGTGTGTGTGTGTGTGTGTGTGTGTGTGTGTATATATGATGGGAACCAAGCCACTCGAGAGAATACTAGCGAATTGGGCCCAGGCCCAATTTAGATCCCGTCCATCAAAAGGAGTGTCCGGCCCAGAGAAAATATATTGGGCCGGTTAAAGGAAGTTATCCGTGAGGAAAGATAGGAAAAAGGAAAAAGGATTGGGGGCTTAAGAATGGGCTGAAGCCCAGCCCACTAAGAATAAGCTACCCCCAAAAGGAAAGGAATCCTATGGAAGAATCTAGAGTAGTCCCCCCCCCTAATTGAAGGGACAAGGACGAAGAGAAAGGGACGGACAGGGAGCAAGAGATGGACGGACAGGCTTGTCCTCTAGTGGGCGGCCTCAAGCTGAGATACATCCCCCATAAGGAGGGAGCAAGAGATGGACAGACAGGCTTGTCCTCCAGTAAACGGCCTCAAGCTGAGATACATCCCCCCAGAAGGAGTAAGGTTGGCACGAATATTCCCCCAATCACTGCCATTATTGAAGAGGATAATGGATGGGGAGTGCCTATAAAAGAGAAAGAGACTAGAGGAGAAAGGATATCTTGTAATAGAGAGAGAAAAATACTTGAGTAAATAATAAAACATATTCCGGCGATCCTTAAGCATATTCCGTTCCTAAGAGAACCGAATAAAGGAGAGGACGCCGGTTTGAGTTATTATCCAGTGAGCAGTGCTTCCATTATTATTAATTATTATTCTCGTATTATCTTTCAATATTATAAGGCCCGGATACCTATATTTGAGCCTGGGCCGATCTACAGTCCTTGGGAAAATATTGGGTATCCATCACTGGCGCCACCCGTGGGACCGATTGAAGCTTCCTGGCCTTTTGGGGAGTTGATAGCGAGCCTATCTTATTCCTGTTCACTTGGAAAGATCTCTTCCTAGACCTAGGAAGAATCAGCGGTCCATTTCAAGTGAAGAAGATAAGTTCGCGGTCCACCCAGAGGGACTCCTTTTAATAGTCGGTCCATTGTTCAAAAAAAAAAAAGAGAGTGAAAGGAGGACCGATCTTCCACAGAGGACCGCATTTTCCAACCGGTCATATAGGAGGACCGATTTCTTGCTCAGGGGCCGCCATCCCCCGTCGGTCCGCCTTTTTCATCAAGAGAAGGTTTCCAACTGTTACCATGGGCAAAAATCGGTCCAAGAGGAACAAAATTGCTGCTAAGGCGCGAACCAACTTGGAAGGGAAAGAGAAGCTTTCATCTGATGATCTCAGACACCAAATAACTCTCTCCCAATCAAGGCGTGAAACACAAGACAAATCTTGTGAACGCAGTTTCCACTCTAAAGCCCCTAAGAGTTCTCATCCAAAGGATTCTCAGGCAGAAATAGAGAAATTCGACGCCAACTCCCCCATCGTCCGAAAATTAATCGGATGGCTCAACAAGGAAGGAGAGGCCCGGTCCCAAGGGACCGGGAGAGAGACGGGCCAAGGAGAGGACGAGGAGGTGGAAAGTCAAGGGCGCATACCAGTGCACAAGAGGATGCGCAAAAATGCGTCCCAAAGGCTGGGACCCAGAACTGAGGAATCTGGAGAAAATTCTGGGGGGCCCAGCAACGAAGATGCCAGAGACATCCTCAAATTGAGAAAAGAAATGGAGGAACTAAAGAGGCAGGTTGACAAGGATGGGTCTTTTGGACCCACAGTGGAAATAATTTCTCCCTTCACTACCAGGGTGATGAAAGCCCAACTGCCTAGAGGTCTGAAAGCTCCTGAAATCCGCTATAAAGGAGTCACCGATCCTAATGACCACCTGGCTGCATACCAAACTCACATGTTGATGCACGCCGTGGAGGACGAGATCCAGTGTCGCCTCTTCGTAGGAACCCTGGAAGGGCCGGCGGTAAAATGGTTCCTTACCCTTCCTAATGGGACCATTGATTGCTTCAAAGATCTTGCTCAACTTTTCCTCAACGCTTATGGGGGAAGATTCCAGCCAAATAAACACTTCACCCATCTTTTCTCCCTAAAGCAAAAGGAGGGAGAAACCAACAGTGAATTGGTACAAAGATGGAATGAGGCGATCAATGAGGTGGAGCCTATGGACGACAAGACCTCCATCGCGCTGTTCATGAATGTTCTCAGGTCGGGGGAATTATTCAGGAAGTTAGATTATGACACCCCTACTTCTTACAAGGCTATGATGGCTAGGGTTAACAAGTTCTGCGCCACGGAAGAGTCGGATCGTCTGAAAGGAAAGAGTGAGGGAGCCTGGCATAAAGGCCCGGACAAAGAAAAGAAAGGAGAAAAGACCAAGGCGGCCACTCTCTCCATCCCTACCCTCAAGTCACTGGCCGCACCAGTGGCAGAAATTAAGAGCAAGGAGGAAGGTGGGCAGAAGAGGAAACGTGGAGACCAAAAGAGAAGGCAGTGGCCCTATGACCCAGAAAAGTATTGCAACTTCCATAGAAGGCCTGGGCACGCCACTGAAGAATGCCATTTCCTCAAAAAGATGGAAGGAGAGATGAAGGACAAGGAACCGAATGCCAATCAGGAGCCGAACCAAGGAGGTAATGTTTGGCGTAGGGACGCCCAACCTCAACAACAAGTCCAGGAGAACCCGGAAGAATTTCCCCAAGTAGGAGTCATCTTTGGTGGTCCAGAAACAGGAGTCACAAGCAAGGAGAGGAAGGAATGGGCTCGCAAGCTGTATGTGGGGTCCATTGACGTGGGCCAAGCGGCCAAGAAAGGAAGGAGGGAGCCCATTGTCTTCTCGGACGAAGATTTACCACTTATTCTTAGTCCTCATCGGATCCCCCTGGTAATTTCTATGGCTATTCACAAATTTTTTGTCAGAAGAATATTGGTGGACACTGGAAGCAGTGTCAATGTGCTGTACTGGGAAGCCGCCCAACAATTGGGAATCAGGAAGGAAGATCTCACTAAGCTTAACATGCCCTTGTCCGGCTTCACTGGAGATATAATTGAACCAGGTCCATTAAATTGGACATCATCATAGGCGAGCATCCTAAGGTGAGGCATATGAGGATGGATTTTGTAGTGGTCGACATCAAATGCGCTCACAATGCCATCTTGGGGAGGCCTGGGCTAGAGGACTTGGGAGGTGCACTATCCCTTGAGCACCTATGCCTTAAGTTCAGGACTCCCGAAGGTGTTGGGAGGGTCCTTGGTGATCAGCCCGCGGCCAAGAAGGCCTATCTAAGCGCCTGTAAGAAGATAGACAAAGAGAACCTCAACATCCAAACCATCGGGCATGTTTTGGAGGATAAAGAAAGGAAGGAGGAAGACCGGGAGAGGCCTAAGCCGGCTGTGGAAATGGAGGAAGTGGTGCTATTCCCGGAAGGGGATCAAGAAAAGGTTGTGAGGATCGGTTTAGGGCTAGAGGAGGATACCCGTGAAGAGATAATCCGAGTATTAAGAGAAAACTCGGTCCTCTTTGCATGGGAATCCAAGGATATGCCTGGAGTCGATCCCTCAGTCATTTGCCATAAGTTAAACACCAAGATGGACTCCCTCCCGGTCAAGCAGAAGAAAAGATATCTGTCCACGGACAGAAAAGAATTTGTGAGGAGGGAGGTGAAAACCCTTTTGGAGGCCGGCCACATTAGGGAGGTCCAATATCCCAAATGGCTCGCCAATGTGGTGCTGGCGCCAAAAGGAGACACCTTCCGCATGTGTGTGGACTTCACTGACCTCAATAAGGCATGTCCTATGGACCCCTTTCCCCTACCGAGAGTAGATCAACTGGTAGACGAAACGGCGGGCCATGAACTATTGAGTTTTATGGACGCCTTCCGAGGATACCATCAAATTTTCATGCACAAAGATGATGCGGAATCCACAGCCTTTATCACCCCTGAAGGAGTATATTGTTACGTGGTCATGCCTTTTGGGCTGCGTAATGCGGGGGCCACATTTACGAGGATGATCTCTTTATTATTCAAGGAGGTCCTGGGACAGATCATGGAGGCTTATGTGGATGACCTACTGATCAAAAGTAAGCAAGCAGCGGACCATCCTCGGCACTTGGAGAAATGCTTTAGCATCATGAGGAAGCATAATTTGAGATTGAACCCCAAAAAATGTGCTTTTGGGGTCCAGGGAGGAAAATTCCTTGGTTACATGGTGAGCAAGAAAGGGATTGAGGTCAATCCGGACAAGTTGAAGGCCATCCAAGATATGGAACCACCAACAAATTTGAGGGAAGTCCAGAGATTAGCAGGAAGGATAGCGGCCCTAGGAAGGTTTTTGGCGCGGTCCGCAGAGCGGTCCCTGCCCTTTTTCACAATTTTAAAGGGAGGGGGAAACTTCCAGTGGACCGCAGAATGCCAAGAGGCCTTTGAACACTTGAAGGCATATCTGAGCTCTCCACCAGTCCTCTCCAAGCCATTAGCAGGGGATGTCCTTTTCTTATACTTGGGGGTGGCCCACCTGGCAGTGAGTTCGGTCCTCTTGAGGGAAGAAGAAGGAGTCCAAAAGCCAGTTTACTACACAAGCAGGGCCTTAAGAGGACCGGAAACAAGGTACACTCCCTTGGAAAAATGTGTTTTGGCGGTGGTGGTAACTGTCAAGAGGTTAACTCCCTATTTCCAAGCTCACCCAGTGAGAATCATGACGGACCAGCCTTTGGGAGCAGTGTTGAGGGACCCATCTTCTTCAGGAAGGGTCATTAAGTGGGCCATGGTCCTCTCTCAATATGATATTTCTTACCAGCCCCGTTCTAGCAAGAAAGGCCAAGTCATTGCAGATTTTATGGTAGAGTGCACAGCAAGAGGGAAGCCAGAAGAGGATGGGACCGGTCAGGAGAGAAAAAGGGAATTATGGGAGGTTCATTCAGATGGATCCTGCACTAAAGACGGCTCAGGAGGAGGAGCGGTCCTCACCTCCCCTGAAGGTTTCAAGGCTTATCATTCCTTTAAGTTCACATTTCGGGCCACCAACAACGAAGCGGAATATGAGGCCCTCATTGGAGGAATCCAGATTGCCCTATTCATGAAGATATTCGTGTAGGCGGAATTTAGGCTAAGTTTTAACCGGTAGCCCGTCGATTTTCCTCTCTACCTCCGGTTCCTTCCTTCCAACTTTTCTATGTCCCTGACGCGGTCCTGAGATGAACCTGTTAAACTCAGGATACTTGAGTATATACAAGCAAGGGAGGAGAATGAAGAGGCGGATATGCTTGCCAAATTATGCAGGACCATTCCCGTCCACATGGAGGGTATGGTAAGGCAGCACGAAAGGATTTGTCCTGTTTGGGAAGAGGCGGTCCCTGTCCTTGAGATATCCGGTCCAGGTACAACTTGGATGAGTCCCTTGATTACATACCTTGAGAAGGGAGAGCTCCCTATTGACCCCAAGGAGGCCCGCAGAGTTCAATTAATGGCTCCCAAATATCAACTGGAGGGAGTAAAATTGTATAAGAGGACCTTGGGAGGACCGATGCTCAAATGCTTGAGTGAGGGAGAAGCAAGAAGAATATTGGAAGAAGTACACCAAGGAGTCTGTTCTGCCCATCAAGGTGCCCTTACTCTAGCAAGAAAGGTGATACTCCAGGGGTTCTATTGGCCCACTTTGAAGAAGGATGCGCTGGAGTTGGTGAAGAAATGCCCCACTTGCCAAGCATTCGCACCAATCCCTAGACGCCCATCTACATTTTATACCCCTGTCACTACAGCCATCCCTTTTGCTAGATGGGGGTTGGACTTGGTGGGTCCTTTCGTCCAAGGGGCTGGAAGGAAGAAATTTGCCATTGTGGCGATAGATTACTTTACCAAGTGGGTCGAAGCAGAGGCCCTTGTGAAGATCACAAAGGAGAATTGCCGTAAGTTCGTGTGGAAAAATTTATTGTGCAGATTCGGTGTTCCTGAGCAAATCATAACGGACAATGGCACCCAATTTGCCAGCACAAGTTTCAAGGAATTCTGTTATGCGTGGAAAATTAAACTCAGTCGGGCCGCCGTAGCTTACCCACAATGCAATGGGCAGGTAGAAAACGCCAACAGGACGATTGTGGACGGCATCAGGAAGAGATTGCACGAATTGGGTACGTCATGGGTAGAAGAGCTATCCTATGTGTTATGGGCCCATAGGACTACTCCAAGGAGAGCCACAGGAGAGACTCCCTTTGCCTTGGCTTATGGCTTTGAGGCAAAGGTACCTACCGAGGTCTTGGTCCCTAGCACAAGGGTGGAAGCATACACTCCAAGCCTCAATGAGCAATTAATGGAAGTGGACTCCCATTTCACTCAAGAAAGGAGGGACGACGCGGCAATGAAGGCGGAAGAGTACCAACGGCAATCCAAGAGGTACCACGACAAAAAAGCTGTAGTTCGGACGTTTAAAGTCGGAGATTGGGTCCTACGTAAGAGGGAGAAAAGTCAGCCCACTAAAGGAGGAAAATTAGCCCAGAATTGGGAAGGACCGTATCGTGTGGAGAAGGTGGTGCGTACAGGCACCTATCAGTTGGCTACATCGGAAGGGAAGGCATTGGACAATTATTGGAATGTGGAGCATCTCAAAAAATTCTACCAATAAAAGCTACATGTTCAAGGTTCCGTCCTCCCATAATATTTCAAGCCCCGCTCTTAAAGTTTTCTTTTTTCCTTTTGTTCAAAGAGAATGGATTGTACTGTGCTTAATATGAAGAAGAAATTTTCCATTCATCATCAATTGTTCCGGTCCATGAGATGTTAAAAAAAAAATGAGGACCGTTCCTAAACAAACTAGGGCCGATCCTTACAAAGAAGTAAGGACCGCTCCCATGGGTCCTAGGACCGATCCTTACAAAGAAATGACAAAGCCAATACAAGAACACATGAAGACTTTAGAATTTAGGGCGAGGGAGAGGAACGGAGGAAAGAAGGCTCTGGTCCCATGGGTCCTGGGACGCCTGGAAACTTCAGCCAAGGATCTAGTCCATCAGAGTAAGGCTCCAGTCCACGATAAAATTTGTCTTGGACCTCCAAACCTCCACGATAGAAACCCCGGCCATAGTCTGAAATGCGATCGGCCTCCATCCGAGCCATATGTCCCTCATATGTGAGACGCTCGTTCTCGAGCGAGCGGCGGGCCTCATCAAGGGAACTCCGAGCTGAACGCCTCTCCTCCATAAGGGTCAGGTTTAGCTCGTTGACCCGTTGAGAAAGTTGACGTTCCGTTTCTTCATGTTGGAGGCGCCACTTCCGCTCGACCTCTTCCGCCGCCTTCCTCGCTTCCTCCTCGGATCGACGACGCCACGTTCGCTCTAGCTCCTCCTCCGATCTCCTTCGGTGAAGTTCTGCCTCCTCTCGAACTTGCAATTCACGCTCTCTGACCTGCCGCTCCAAGTCCCTCCTCAGGAATTCTATCTCCTTGAGGTCGTGAACCCGGTTGAGATCACGCTGCCCGACCTTGGCCGCAAGCCGCTCACGGTCCGAGTAGAGCTGATCGTTCTCGGACAAAACCCGATCATATTCCGGACGCTCAACGCAGATAGAGTGCCGAGATTTGAGATCCCTCAGCTCCTTTGATAATGCAGCATTGCGGTCCAATAGACGAAGGGAATGGCGCTGAGCAGAGGAAGTGGCAACATAATCGGCCTGTCAAAAGAGGAAGGCAGCAAGAGTCAGCCGTCCTAAAAAGCATAAAGAAGTAAGTGAAATACTTAGAATGAAGGGGGGAAAGGACACTGACCATACAAGTGTACTCCTCCTGCATAAATGGCCAGGCCGGGCTGTGGACCACGTCAGGATGGTCCCTCTTGAACTGTTGTATTTCTTGAAGCTTGTTGTTGAAGTCTCGTCCTACCCAGGACGTGTATCCTGTGAACTGATAGGCCTCCCGGGCATAGGGAAAGGGTTGACTCCCTTGCCCAATGAGAAAGTCATCATCGGCGGTCCCCATGAGAGGACCGGCGGACACCAGAGAACCGGGGAGAGGGGTGGAGTTCCGGCCCCTCTTGTGGCGGACCTGGGAAGAAGAGGAAGACCCGATCTCCTGAATTGAGGGACCGGGGATGGTAGTGGGACCGATGGAAGAGGGGACAGTGGCCTTCCCAAAACTGGAGGACCGAATTAACTCCTCCGTCTCCAAAAAAGACTAATGGATATTTGTTCCGGGGAGAGGAACGTCGCCATGACCAAAGGGAGTCCAAAAAATATTCTCCGCCGCAGAATTTGCAAAATTAAGGATATTGGACGTCTCGGGCTGGGAAATTGCTTCATCCCCCCCACAGCCAGAGGAGGGGGAATATTCCCAAGGAGATTCCGTGCTACACGGAATCCCAATCCCGGCCACCTGAACGTGAGACGGCTCAAGGGACCCTTGCGAACCAGTGGCGCGCCCTATCGGAAGGGGCCCACTGGTTTGGGGGTGGAAACCTAGTGGGCCCATGGGCTGAGCCGAAGAAGAAGTTCCCCTGCCAAAGAGAGGAGTGTGAGGAACGCCGGGAATAAGGCCGGACACCCTCAGGGTCCCCGGAGGGAAGTCGTAGAGGCCATCATCTTCGGAGACGTCCTCAACTACCACCTCTTCCGAAAGGGGAGGTTGGTCGGGATTGGCCAGAGATAGGGCCCCCGTCGCGGACCCTACTTCTTCGCCCTCGGTGTCCTCCTCCGGAGAAGGATCTCTTCGAGAAGATCGCCGACGGAGTCGAGTACTCCTGAAAGGGGGAACCCAAGAGGAAGTTGTGTCTCCCGACGGCTCTTGAGGAGGAATATCGGGAGACACCCAGAATCCGAGACCCCGAAAATACGAGTCCTTGAGGAGGAGCGCGCGGGGGACCGGATGGCCGTTCTTGCGAAGAAGACGGAAGACCCCCTCGAGCTCCGAGTCACGAGGGGGAAAAAGGTGAGAAGGGAACTTATCTTCCTTCTTCCGCCACATATTGGGGAAGGGAAGATCTTCGGGAACTACCACAACGAAGAAGCGGCGGAACCAATCGTCAAGTTTGTCGACCGGGCTATCCAAAAACTGCATGTCGGTCCGGGCCGTGAAGCTCACGAACCCCCGGCCCAACTCGCCATCATACTTGTGGGGACGGAAGAAAGAGAGGAAGAGCTTCAGAGTGGGTTGGATGCCTCTCTTGTGACACCGCGCCAAGAAGCCAAAAAGACTCTCGTGGGAGTTCGAGGAAATCTGACCGGGAGGGATGGCGTAACGGTTGCAAAGTTCGACCAAGAGGGGATGGAGAGGGAAGCGGCATCCCATCCTCACCGAGTCGTAGTGGATGACCAGTCGGCGGGAGGAGTCAGGATTGCGCTCCAAAGTAGTACCCGCGGCTTCCTGGACGCCATAATCAGGAGGAATGACTCCCCTCATCTCCCCCAATTGCGCAGGGGTGATGGAAGAGACACTCTCATCCTCCTTAGACTTTTTGCTGCCGTTGAAGATCTTGGAGACCTTGGAGATGGTTTTCTTCATGGTGAGAGAGAGTGAAAGTCTTGGGAAAGGAGAGAGGGTAATTCGGCAGGGATAAGAGCAAGGGAAGTGGAGAGCTGTGTGTAAACGTGAGAAAGGAGAGGGGAGAGGGATCGGTTTTATAGAAAAAGAGAAGAGGAAGAAGAAACGGTCCTCCCTCAATGCTTCTTTGCAACGGTAAGAATTTTGAGGGCACCTGTTTCGAAACGGTCCGATGGCAGTGAAGGGACACCTAGAAAAGAGAATTGCAACCTTGGACTCGGGTCAGGAGCACTAATTCCAAACGGTCCACTCTGCCGATTTCCCAGATCTGCGGTCCTCTGTTCCTGTCCTTTTTCCTGTTACGGTCCCACAATCATAGATGGATAGGGACCTCGAATCGTACGCAGTCGAACGGTCCAATGCAGCAGTTAAGGGAATCAGAGGAACCGGTCAAAAGGGGTGGTAACGTTTGGGAAAGTAGGCCATGGATATTTAAAGTTGCACGGACTCCCAGCGGTCCATTCCCTAAATGTGTTTTTCCCATGCACGCAGTCCACGCCCAATCTACTCCTCTGTCAACAATCTATCATTATTGATGTCCAGGGACTGCTCGCATGACCAGACAGCAGAAGGACAGACCTACAACACTACGGTCCAATGGAAGCGTGCCGCGTGTACTCCACTCACACAATTATTCATCCGTGGGAGATGTCACCTGGGGTGGATACAAATTGAATTTTGGGGTCTCCCCCCAGAAAAGAGAATCTTTGACAAAAAAAAAACAAAAACAAAGAAAAAAGAAAAAAAAACTTTCCAATAAGGCATGCAAGGAAGACTACAGTCAAAAAATTTTATTTTTTGACTTGTAAAAAAAGGGGCATGTGATGGGAACCAAGCCCATCGAGAGAATACTAGCGAATTGGGCCCAGGCCCAATTTAGATCCCGTCCATCAAAAGGAGTGTCCGGCCCAGAGAAAATATATTGGGCCGGTTAAAGGAAGTTATCCGTGAGGAAAGATAGGAAAAAGGAAAAAGGATTGGGGGCTTAAGAATGGGCTGAAGCCCAGCCCACTAAGAATAAGCTACCCCCAAAAGGAAAGGAATCCTATGGAAGAATCTAGAGTAGTCCCCCCCCTAATTGAAGGGACAAGGACCAAGAGAAAGGGACGGACAGGGAGCAAGAGATGGACGGACAGGCTTGTCCTCTAGTGGGCGGCCTCAAGCTGAGATACATCCCCCATAAGGAGGGAGCAAGAGATGGACAGACAGGCTTGTCCTCCAGTAAACGGCCTCAAGCTGAGATACATCCCCCCAGAAGGAGTAAGGTTGGCACGAATATTCCCCCAATCACTGCCATTATTGAAGAGGATAATGGATGGGGAGTGCCTATAAAAGAGAAAGAGACTAGAGGAGAAAGGATATCTTGTAATAGAGAGAGAAAAATACTTGAGTAAATAATAAAACATATTCCGGCGATCCTTAAGCATATTCCGTTCCTAAGAGGACCGAATAAAGGAGAGGACGCCGGTTTGAGTTATTATCCAGTGAGCAGTGCTTCCATTATTATTAATTATTATTCTCGTATTATCTTTCAATATTATAAGGCCCGGATACCTATATTTGAGCCTGGGCCGATCTACAGTCCTTGGGAAAATATTGGGTATCCATCAATATATATATATATATATATATATATAGAATTTGGATCATATGAGAATAGGATCTAGTGAAAGAAATAGGAATAAACATGCACCGTCCGATCTTCCCCCATTTTATATCTTGGATCTGTATTGCCGATTAATGTATAGGGACACGATTGTATTTTCCTAATTTTATCGGTTAACCACTCAATCGCATCTATCGCTCTGTTCCGCAGACTTCGCCCACATCCCCTGATTCCTTTCGATCATCCAATTTACGTTACTTGATCACCATAATCTATCATCTCATGGAAAAAAATATTAATCGCAAGAAAGGAGGAACACAATCCATCAACCATTGTCCATCGGAAATTGAAGTGCCATTGAAATGGACACAGGTACTATCTAATTATCACTTTGTTTCTTTCGAGTTCCATTTTCCAGTTATTTGCAGCATCCTCACAATTTCCATTTCCAGTCATTTCCATTTCCTTTATCCTTTTAAACGGATTTAGAGTGCAACAACAATAGTGTGATGAAACAGGGAATGTGACATGTTTTTGGTAGCATTCATCCATTTTTTTTGCTGTAAAAAGTGATTTCTTTAGTAATATCTATACTTGTTTAAGTGTTTATACTTTATCTTTTGTTCCTCCATCACATCTGATGATGTCTCATTATCACCTTTTTAGCCGAAAATGCAAGCACGAATGCCCACACAACCTCAAATGATGCGTCTTTTACGTCTCCCAATACCGACCAAATGCCTCACCCGGATTCTAATTTCTTCATCCCGCCATGCCCAACAGAATGTAAGCCAAGAGTGGGAATGGTTTTTCAGAAACTGGAAGACGGGATTTTGTTCTATAAGGAATACGCAGCACTTGCAGGGTTTGATATCCGTATGAGCACCACGACAACATCTTCAGACGGTGTTAAGGTATGGAAGTATATTCTGTGTAGTCGTGAAGGTCATAAACATTTTGCGCCTGGTGCGAAGTTAGCGCATAAACAGGTTGAAGCCTCCCAGAATGGCAGGAAAACAAAACGTCGACGCATATTCAACCGCACAGGTTGTCGTGCGCGTGTAATCTTTAGCCTTTGCGGGACTTCTGGTTACACCATAACCCTATTTGAAGAACGCCACAATCATCTTATGCTATCAATAATGTCCAGGCCTTTCTTGAAAATCAACCGGAATATTGATATTGGTCATAAAAAATTTATGCTTAATTGCGCTAAAGCAAATATTGGGACAATGAAATCATTCCGTTTGTTTAAAGAGTCAGTTGGAAGTTACAACAATATAGGAGCAACATCAATTGATTTCAAGAACTTCAAAAGAGACCTAAAGGCATATGTTGCTGGCGGGGATGCCCAAATGATCATTGATAAACTGTTCCGAAGACAAGAAACATGTCCTGCTTTCCGTTTTGCGTACGATGTTGACGAAAGTGACCAGCTAATACGATTATTCTGGTGTGATCCAGTTGCAAGGAAAAACTGGGCTATGTTTGGTGATGTTCTCTCCTTTGATGCCACGTATGAGACAAACAGGTAATCGTATTTTCAATACATTATATTCCTTTCCTCGTTTTCATATATGTCTACTGTGGTTCTCATTTATGATGTTTTTTTCTTTTATAATCATAGGTACAACATGGTGTTCACACCTTTCACGGGAGTGGATAATCACCAGAAATGCGTGACGTTCGGGGCTGGTCTACTTCGCACCGAAGACATAGAATATTACACCTGGGTGTTCCGCCAATTTCAAGATGCAATGGATCACGACCCCAAATGCATCATAACAGATCAAGACCCATCCTTGCATACAGCTGTCAGTGAGGTATTCCCACATACTACCCATCGCTATTGTATGTGGCATATCACTAAAAAATTAGGAGGCAAAGTTGGAGAACCTCTAAATAAGGATACCAATTTCATGACTAGATTCAATGAAGTTGTTTGGAGCCATTATCTCGATTCGGTTGAGTTTGAGAATCAGTGGCACGAGGTCATGAATGATTATGATTTGGTCAGCCATAAATGGTTCATCAAGTTATTTGAAATTCGAACATCTTGGATCCCAGCATATTTTAGAGATTTATTTATGGCTGGTTTATTGAGAACGACTTCACGTTCCGAGAGTGAGAATAGCTTCTTCGGGGAGTTCTCTAACCAAAATTTTAGTCTTGTAGAGTTTTTTATGCAATTTGAAAGTGCTATGGATGCGAAACGCCACAGGAATGCCTTACTGAACGCTGAAACTGAGTCTTGCACACCAGTATTCAAAACCCCTTTGGCTATTGAGAGGCATGCTGCTTCCATATACACACTGACTGTGTTTTATAATGTTCAGAAAGAGATTTGTGCTGCATGTTTTTCTTGTTCTGTCGTACACGTAGATGACGTTGAGGATAAAGTTCAATATACTATCAAGGACATGAGAGGTATGTTGTTCATTGTCATGTATTCTTCTGACACGGGCTGTGCATCTTGTTCCTGCAAGCATTACCAGCGTATTGGGCTCCTATGTAGGCATATATTTGTTGTGCTTCAAGCTATGGGCTGCCATAACATTCCAGAGTTGTACGTTTCCAAAAGATGGTGTAAGAATGACATTGTGTATCGTTCCGTTGGTACAACTACAGCTAATTATGAAAAGGATTACATACGAGAAAACACAAAATGGAGTATCAATAAATTATGGTCCGACATCCACGCATGCGTGGCGCTTGTTGAGCATGACTCCGATTTGCTGGGATCATTTTCTGAGGTTATTAGAGCACAAAAGACAAAGCTGCAAGGATTGTCTGTTTCTGATGAATTACAGGGTACAAAAAACAAGATGTTTGAATCTTTCTATGGCATAGCCTCCCCTTCTGAGGTCCGTGTATTACCCCCCGAAAAGGTGCATAACAAGGGAAGTGGTAAGCGAATCAAAAGTGCAAAGGAATTAGCCATCGAACAATCCAAGAAACATAAGAGACTTTGCCGAACTTGCAATCAAACAGGCTTCCACGATAGTCGAAACTGCCCGCTTAATAAATCAACATCATGATTTTGTAATATTTACAATAAACTACTATTTTAAGCCTCTACACATCTCTATTTCCTTATGCTTTTTGTTAGTGTCATTGATTTAATTTTCAAGGTGAATATCCTAGACAATTTCTTTGCATACACTTCTTATTATTGTTCATTTCTCTAGTTTATGTTACCGTTTAAATAATGCCTAAACTGTTTTCCACCATTTAAATAAAATGAAACGACCTGATACGGTGTAATGCACAAAACGGCATGCACTATGCAGTACACACCTCTGGGCAGTGCATCGTGTAACACTGTACATACAACTACTTATATGCTCTAGTCTATCAAAAAACACTTGGACCACACACCATATGCACCACACATCATGTCCTCGAGGAGTAACTCTTAAAAAGTCTCGACCCATTCGTATGGGTCAGGCTCTTCCTCATCCACTACCTCTTCGACACTGCTTAGGTCACCGGTCAGGTCCAACCATGACTGGTCAGGCCAGCCCATCTGGGGTCGTGATGATTTCCGAACCATTACCCCCAAATAAAATGCACGATCAATTTGACTCGAGACTAGTGTTTCGGATGACTGGGTGGCGTTGTTGGAAGAGGTTGGCTACCATGTTATGACCCTCGGGGCATTGTTTATTTCTCTAATTTACATTACCGTTTAAATACTGCCTAAAATGTTTTCAACCATTTTAATAAAACCAAACGAGCTGGTACGCTGTAATGCACAAAACGGCTTGCATTATGCATTACATACCTCTAGGCAATGCATCATGTAACACTGTACATAGAAAGAAACTCAAATATGCTCTAGTGTATAAAAAACCACCTGTTGCAGATTCACCATGTTTGGACAAACTAACTTATCATCTATTACTAAGTGTATCAGACTCACAACGTTTAGAATATCACATGTACATGATCATTATATCATTGTCACGATCCTCTATACATATTGTACCCAATCGGGTGGGTGTAAGTTTTTCTATTAATGCGGCACAAAAGCATCAGAGCACATTATGCCACTTAAGTAATGCAACTATTCGAGTCTCTTTGTATGCAAGTAAAAACCAGCAACTCTACTAAATTGTTTTCAATGTTAGTGAAAAAAGTTGGATGATTATAAAATTAATATTTAAACATAAGTCCAAACCAACAAGTCAACAGACACCATTGAAATCCAAGTTGCAAAAAACCATAACCAAAAAGAAAACCAGTGAATTGGGTAACACCCAAACACCGCTTAGCCCAAAAATAATAGCATCTCTAAATAATAAAAATGTCAGGAGTACTTATAAATAGGAAATGCATAGTTTCCACGCCATAACAGGCTCTCATGCCCGGCTACATTCCTTGACCCTCTTCAAGATCACATCTTTTAACTCATTAACATCTGACTCCACAATCGCAGCACAATATTTGCTCCTCAGTGCATTTATCGGTTTCTGATCACCCCTTGTCAAACCACATTCCCATTTCCTCAAAGATTGACCCATGTAGGTCTCCATATGCCTCATGGTTGTAACCCCATAATCATGGATCGTCTTTGCATCTCTCCACGGCATTTCCAAACGGCGTGCAGCTTGGCCCTTAAGCCTCAAAACCTTCGCACCAAGGCCTTTCTCGTCGAAGAAACGCATAACCATGTCTCCCTGCAACACAAATATAACAACATGCTTATATTCAAGGAAGAACCCGCATATACCATTATTAAAACAACCCAAAAATCCAATCCAATCACTCTTACAATGTCCTTGGGCATTCCATCATATTTATCATCAAATGATACATTCTCAGAGGAGCTGTCCAAGATCTCAAAGCGGTTACTCTTTAGGTTCATGCATAAGCAATAACACCACTTTTGTTGTAGTACTGGAAAGAAAATCTGCATACGCAACATATTTCAAACATATATTCACTTTTTCAAATTTCATACATGAGCACTTATACTTTGCATTTCCAATAACTAACCGTGACTCACCAAGTCCACATTACAGGGAGAAGTTGAGCTCCAACCATACTCGATAACATCACAAAACAATTTATATGCAACATCTGCTTCATACGCATTACCCTCGTGCGTATATGGCTGCAATAGAATTCATGTTCACTGAAGATGTCATATTAAGACCAAATGGTATGAAAAAAAACCAACTTCTAATGAAAACAAACACATACACATCGTAGTGACTTTGCAAAGAAGCGAGCAGGTGACGTAGTGCTACGAAACAGTTCGTTCTTATTTAAAATGCACGACCATGCATCCAACACATTCGCAGAAATGTGCTCACCAACCCCCAACGTCATCATCTGACCACGGTCAACAAATATATTGTAGCCCTTAAAGACAATTTCATCTCTGCACATTAATTTCTCACTCAATCAAAATCAAACAGATAAAGCACAATCTGAGTCTATCTTACTGATCCAAAAAAAATGCTATACCTATCACCTCTTGGATTACTCATAACCCATTTCCAAATGTTTTTCTCTTTGGTGTTAGCGTTCTCTTTCGGGTCAATTATGCGCATCATATAAGGTGACTTCAACGTTAGTGTTGCTCGTTGTTTTCTTCTATTCCTCCTTCCTTCTTGGGTCTGCAAAATCTTCATTACCAAATCTGTATAAGTAAAGGCTTGAAGCAGATCCGTGTACTACTAAATGCAACGCCTAATGTATCATACCTCCTCACTTTTCCTTTTCATGCCTCCCACATCTTCATTCGCATCATTCTCATCCTGTAAGAGGTTTCCCAACATTGTTATTAAAGTGTATGATAGTATGAATACGATACAAATTGGGTACAATACTCAATCATAGGCGTGGCATTTTTCAGAAAAATACAAACAACGTGACACATACCTGTTTGCTATTGTTAAAAGGATTTGATTTCCCTCCCTCAGCACTCCCTACAACTGCCGCTTCACAAACCCGTAATGGCGTCACCTCAGTATTCAGACTCCCCACAACTATCTTTTCCCCAGCATGTTCGATGGATGTTGCGCCACATCCATCACCCTCATACTCCTGTGTCATTCCTAAGCTAAAAGAAGGCATATCACTTACCACCTCATGATATTTGGCTCGCACCTGTGCTGCCTTCTCAGCTAAATCAACAGCAGCTATGACCTCTGGGCTGCTCCAAATTGGATCGTCATCCAAGAGCTGGCTCTGAGGTTCCACACTACATGTTTTATCTGCACCATCCTTCTCAACATGTATCCCAATTAACTTACCCCACACATTTTGCATTTTAACGAAGTTGGCACTGCGAGTCACTATTTTTGGAGCTTCCTGAACCATTGTTATTAGATCAATAACCGTGCTTGCCAGGATGTTGCAAATTTCCTTACAAGCACCTATAAAAATTAAATTCCTATAAGATTATCATTTTTTAGCTTTGTAATTTTCCTCCCATCTTGAAAAAGAAAAGAATATCAAATAAATAAAAACAAGTACACATTTTACCTCCTCGGAATCCTCCACTACCAAGTCCACCAGAGCATCACTTTCGTTTGCACTAGATTCATGTTCCTGTGCATCATCAACCATTGTATTCACCATCACGATCCGTGATTCTGCTCCCAATCTTCCATCGTCATGTCCAATCCCAAACCCTCCATCCTTAACTTCTGTATTCTCTCTCTCTCGCAGTGTTTTAGCAGTCCATCCAACTACTGCTGGAAACATCCTTGGTACAGATCTCGTGTAAACAGCAACACGGTCCACATAAAACACCTGCATTGAATGTGTAAGACATATGCATCATACATTATAAAAAGCAGATCATACTAAATTTGTAAACTCATACCAGTAAGAAAAGCAAAGGGCCTCCAAAACATTTTTTATTATTCTTGTCCCACTTTACTTTGTTTTCCATCAGCTTTTCAAGCACATATTGACACCAATCCATTCTTGCAACCTCTTCAACATTCTTTAGATGATCCAGCACCAATGCATTCATATAACCATGTGATGTGCTATCGATGAGAACCGCCACGATCAGCACCATGAAATGCAGTATAAACCACTCCCCTCCCTCTTTACACATCAACATCTTTTCCACCACATCACCAGCGGTAATTTTACCATCTTTCCTTCCAAATTTAAGTCTCCATTCCTCTAGGAGAATTCTGTCCTTGTTACTTTTGTTGCACTCAATCCTTTGTCCACCATTTGGCCAACCCAACACAATATACACATCCTCTTTAGTTATGTGCATCTCTCTGTCCTTAGGAAGTTGCAGGGTGCTGCTTCTTGCATTGTAATTCTCCACAACCCAACGTCCTAACCTCGCGGGCAACTCTGAAATTTCCATCTTTAAAACTGATCCAAAGCCAATCTTCTCTACCTCGGATCGTTGCACTTCATTCATGCCTTTAATCGCTTTAATCAATACATGAGGAGATGACCTAGTTTTTAGCTTCTCATAACCAACTTTAATGTCTACCAGCCGCTCTTTTTTCACTCTACCAGTTCTTTCCCTTCCAAGATTAGGTGGTTGATTCTCAAAATCATCATCCCCGACTAAATTTTCATCGTCTCCCTCCTCAATTTCAATATTAATTGGACTTGTGTTCACATTTGATTGATTTTTCTTACGGACACTGAGTAATCTGCTACTCCGTCTTTGAGGGGTCGTTGATGGGATGTTAATCGTGGATTTTGGAGCTCGTTTGGCCGAAAGTGTACCTATATATATATATATGGTGTTCATTACATTCGAATTAGAATAAAACACATCTACACTTTAATAACACTAAATTCAAAAATAATGATGTACAAAGAATAAAAAATGCAGACTTTTGGCCATGTGTGTTAATGTAACATATTCACACAACTTCAAAATCAGAACACATTACAGCACATAACCTAAATAACATCACATTCCTATAGAAATGCATTAATATCATGACAGAATGCACACCTAACTACCCCCCCCCCCCCCACACACACACACACATGATGCACCATGAATAAAAATCAAGACGGATGCTTTGTTAGGCTATCAATCCAATTAACAAACATAGGACTCCATTGCACATTATAAAACACCATATGCACCACACACTACTTGGAATGCACCACAACCCACATATTAAGCAATCGAAGGAAAACCATAATGCATGCATTCTTACATTTCAAACTCACAAAAATCTGTGCCCCATGTACATCTTGCGACAAATTCCAACTCCGGAGACTACAAAACACAACTGATGCACTCCAGTACTCAACCAATGCAGTAAAACATACCCTATACACACTATGCACCATATTCATCAAATAATTTGGAATTTACTACATATAAACCTACAACCCATCATAGACTTCCAGCATCTATCCCAAAAACAATTTGGGAAAATCAAATATTTTTCATCACAGTGCACACTCATCCTCTTTTCTTCAAATCATATACCAAAGTTTAAACATGCAAGTACACATATGAACTCCCCTTTCATCCATGCAACACGCCCCACAACCAAAAAAACACAAAATTACAGAAAAAACCTGATCGCAGAGGAGTTGCCTCACTTGGTGCCGGTGTCTCATCTTGTTCCGCCATTGATGCTTTAGAATTCCTTCCAGTCACAATTCAATTGTTCTTATGCCAGCGGCCGCACAGCTAAAATCGCAATCTTTGATACACCTTTTGCGGCGAAGAATGCTAAATTAACGCATAAAACCCAGTGCAGTCTTGGTAATCCAATTAATTATGGAATCTGGCAAGTATCCCATCAGTGCGCGGTATATTATGCTACGTAATCTTCCTGAAATACCCTTATTCGAAATCTCTTAAGCCAATCATCTCCCGACTAACACGCTTCCCATTAATAATACGTAAAAAATTAAAAAAAAACAAACATCTTGCATCGTTAGATCTTACTAATCCAACGGCCCTCACCCATTCTTATTTCCTTCACAGTGATGCATTCTCACCTGATCCAACCCCTATATATATATATATATATATATATATATATATATATATATATATATATATATATATATATATATATATATATATATATATATATATATATATATATCATGGGTTTAGAGAGAGGATATATTCTTTCCCGGCAACCTTGGCCGGCGGCTCTCCTGGCGGAACCCTGTCACCGCTGGGCTCAAGTTACCAGAGATTAACTGGAGATCTAGATTATCCTCACATTGGTTTCCATCACCAACCATCCGGAGGGGGCTGCAGCATTCAAAGATCCATTTCTCCACTGGGTTCAGGCCACCTGAGACTGAAAGGAGATTTAGATTTCAGAGGTATTCATCTTCTAACTCATGGAGGGGGTTGCAGCAACCGAAGTTACATCGGGGATGGTCAAATTTTAGAGCTAGTCACAATCGTTCTTTTTGGCAGTCTGATCGAGAAGAGGTTTACAAATCTGTGCGCCCGTCTCTTATGCAAGTGGAAAGCCGTAACACCAGCTCTAGATTTAGACTTCAAGTCAAGGTATTCAATCTTTTCCACTCTGGGTACAATCTCAATTTATGCATCACAGAGTCAGGAAGAAGAACCTTTCAGATTTGGCTAAATTCTAAGGCATTTAAATGGATTTCAGAATCCCTCCCTAGGCTCTTACATAATAATTGTTGGGTTATCTCAAGGTTTGAGACGAATCGTAAGTTTACACTATCTTTTGGCTCCAACAATTGGGGGGAGTATATCAGGTTAATTGAGCACAGATTCGAAGGTTTCTGCTCTATTTTCTTCCCTATTGATAGGAGGGATGGCATATCAAGCCTTATCAACTGCCTAACATCGTTTCTGTCTTTGATTAAGGGGAAGAATAAGGTGGAAGTACCCATCTTGGCTACTAAAAATGGGAAAACTTCCTATTCCCCATTTGCTGAAGGGGTTTCAGGGTCACCTACGTCAATAGCAGGTTCTTCCAAACTTTCCGAACACGTTGTAAATGCTTTGGTTCTTTCTCCCAGGCCTGATGAATCTTCCAATTCTCATCCAACTACCTACTCTATTAACACCCCAGTGTCTAAGTTTTCCTTTCCTTGTGGTTCTAGTTCACTTATTTGGTTTCATTTGCTTATGTTCTTTTGTTCCCATAATATCTTGGCACCTAAGGCCAGTTTAAGTGTTGAGTCTACTGCCTTGGGTACGGCTCTTATTGCAAGAGAGGAGCCTTCAGATTCCATACCTTTGGAAAACTCGCCTAGAACTTGTTCTCAGTTGCAACCTTCTTTGGAATCAGGTCACGTAAACACTCTAGCAGGTGTTCAATGTTTTGAACCTTTACAGGTAGTTTTCCCAGAGGAGGAGGATCAGAGACATACAGCCTCTAGAGCATGCCTATCAGATTCAGAGGTTTTTATAAATGAGGACAGCCCAGACTTCCAATTGTACTTTAGAGACAGTGTATATATATATATATATATATACTAGCATTGCTCCACGCGATGCGTGGATTAAAGTGCCCGATATTATCTTTATAGAAATTATTATCATAATTTTCTTGTTATAGTAGTGGATGACCAAACAAAATAGAAAAGTGTAACAAAATATTAAAGAATGAAAAGAGGAGAAAAAACTAAAACAAACATTTAGAGTCCAATCCATATAGTTAATTAAGGAGTGAAAATCCCAAGCTCAAAAGCAGGTTGTGCATAATGTTGTTAGATGAGCACTAATCAACAACACTAAAAATTAGTTCATTGTACATTAAGCAACTGCAATTAGAAAAAATTCACACCAGATTCACCAAAGCCATATTGAAAGTAGCTTTAATTTGAGATTATTATACCAACAAAGCAATAAACCAATAGTCTAATAAACGAACAAACTCAACTTTTGCCATCAGCAAACCAACCTCATGTAGCAGTTTGACCAACACATAAGGTCAGAAATAATTGAAACCCATTCTCAAAATCTTAAATTCCATAGGCACACACACCGGCTAATTGGTCCATCAGCTTCATATCTAATTGCATCAGCAAAATTGCAATAATCATCTCAAAGCAGTTCCAAAACCTGCAACATATGCCTATTGTAATAATCTAGTAAGCATTGCACACAAAACTTATGCAGGTATGAATCAAGACTTTGCATTTTGTAAGAATGTTTTGCTCTATCTCTTTTCTAGGCATTCTGAAAAGGGATCCATATATAATAAAAAAGGAAATGTTCAAAACATACATAATAGGATTTTAAATAATAAGGGTTACGAAAAAATTTTAGAACAAAATTTGAAGAATATATAAGACATCAAAAAATAGATTTTTAGAACAAAGAGAATAATAATAATGGATATATAACACGCGTTTTGTAAATTGGTAACCCACAAGGTGTCAAACAAAAACTCAAGTCAATCATAGCAAACAAATGTTTGGAAATCTATACACTTCTGTACAGTAGAAATGGATAAGGGGGAAAAGCAAACCTGAAGCCTCAAGCGCAAAACATAGGGAGGGCAAATAGTCGCATGCACATAAGCTTGACATAGTATGTATTCCTGGCATAATCAGCTAAAATGAAATATAGGAGAGAATCGTACTGGTAGCACTGGCCAAACCTTCAACTAAAAAAAAGCATGTAAGATCATTTTAGCGAGTGCACATGTGTATCAATTTACAATATCAAGCACAAATCAAACCTAGTAATACACTTCATCATTTTAGTAAGTGGACCTGTGTACCATGATAAATACAAATAACTCAAAGTATTGCAATGCCTATAGAATATGCCAAAAAAAATATCTCAAAAGGTACCTCTATGGATAATAATTTAGAAATTAACACATTAGATGTCAAATTTGTAAGGGATCATATGCACAAAACAGTGGTGGGTCCAAGATTTTAGCTAGATGAGGGCACCATTAGTCGTGGGGTCTGGGGACAGCGCCCCTGGATTTTTTAATAGACAATATGAATTGACAAAAAAATACCGGAGTAATAAATTTTGTTTCAAACATTCCTGTTTTGACTTGGGAAGGATTTATTTTCGTAGTTTGACCTTCTAATTATATCTTTATCATCAAAGAAAAAAGAGAGACAAATCATTTAAATGACTTATTATATCAATCCAAATTGAATTGAGTATATTGCAACCACTTAATTTAGATATATTAGTCATTTTTTACAAATCTAATACAGAGAGAGAGAGAGAATTTGATTTTTTTAAAATTTCAACTGATGATTTGAACTTTGAAGTATGAACAAAAGTATGTGTTTGTAGTGATTTTTGCCTATGTATAGCAATTTTATTTATGGAATATCTAGATGAATCCAGCAAAATCATCTTAGAGGGTGAAGACAATAATTTGAGTAAAAGAGTGTTGTTGTTAAATAAGAAAATCTCAAAATCTACCAACATATTCAAAACCTAACCTGTGTTTATTTTTAATGGGTTCTCTTTAGGAGCATTTAAAAGACAGGTGCTACAAACATTCCATGTGAAATTATTATTTGAAAGAATTTAGATATAAAAAGAGAGAAATCCAGTATATTCAACAAAGGTAAATTTATGCAATATATTACCTTTGATTTAATCATATCCCTTAACAGTAAGGACTAAGGAGCATAAATAATTAACCACTTACCATCCAAAAAATATTAGGTCTATTGGACTTAGAAGTTGATCACCCAAATCTTGTTAAATATTTGTTGGTTTCTAAGCTTGAACCAACAAAAGGTGATGCTCCAACATTGGATACATTTAAGTTTTTCATTAAAATTTATGAGGAAAAAAAAGAAATTAACATAAGATATACGGAAGTTAAAGCTCACATAAAAACTTGAATTCATAAAATAGAACAAAAGCAATTGCGGATTTGAAAATACCTCAATTCAAATCAAAGACAAGCTGGTGGTACCTTGTCGCAACCGGATTGTGGGAATAGCTGGGAACATGGATGACGAGAGGGGAGCCAACTACGTACACAGAATTCTGGTCGGAACTGTTGTTCCCTAGACCTGGAGTTTTTACTTAGAAACGGCTAAGCACCGATATCTCTACCACAGCGGCTGGCAAGAACCCTAAAATCCTGAGTTCTATTTTTCTTGAGATTTAGGGGCTGTTTGTTTCAGCCTCTTAATGGTTCAGATGTCTGAATGATTCAGCACTTAATGGTTAATGGTTCAGATGTCTGAATGATTCAGCACTTAATGGTTCGGACTGTTTGTTTCAGCCTCTTAATGGTTCAGATATCTGAATGGTTAAGAAATTTGCCTCTGAATGGTTAAGTATTATACAGAGTCTGAATGGTTAAGAGCTCTTATCTGAATTGATCAGACATTTGCATCTGAATAGTTAAACAATACACTAGCTCTTAATGGTTCAGACCTTTTACTGGTTCAGCACTTAATGGTTCAGACTTCTTACTGGTTCAACACTTACCTATTCAGAAGTTGTCAAACAGCCCCTTAGTCAATGGTAGTGGAGTATTAAAATCCAACTCCCCACTACCGAAGTAAGTCTGCTTCTAATAGGTGACGGGCGTTAAAACGGTGAGGATATTTTTGACCAAAAAATGTAGAAGTACTCCTTCTTGAGCATGGCGTACAAGAAATTTGGATGGAAAAAGTACATATTATTAATGGGTACCTAACTCTCTCTCCCATTTTTATAGATAGAAAGATATATATATATATATATATATATATATATATATATATATATATATATATATATATATATACTCCCTCTGTCCCAAATTATTTGTCACATTTCTATTACCGAGGCAAAATATCAAGTTTTTTCAATTCATTTTATTTATATATTGGTAAAGAGATAAAAAATAAAAATTACATATCAAAAAACTACATGAAAAGTTCTTCGAAATAAGAGGTGTCAAGAATATTTTATTTTATCAAATAACCAATGAAAACATAGAAATAAACAAAAGTTCCCGCAATTGTTGAAAAAGCAAATGTGGCAAATAATTCGGGACAGAGGAAGTATATATATATATATATATATATATATATATATATATATATATATATATATATAATACAAAAATGGATCAAACACGACCGATCCCGCCCCTCCATACCGAACCGATACTTTGGGATCGGGATCAACACAATGTAAAATCTCATACCGAATCGAAATATTTGGTACCATATTCGTGCGTATCAAATACTGTATCACGCTCGCCCCTCCATGTCTCCATTTTATTGTGGTTGTAGTCACCCCATTTTTTCTTCCTTACTCACGCACACACTCACGTAGTCACGAGAGGGAGGAGGTGGGCTCCACCTATGATGTGGCAGTGCCACGGAGAATCACTCTTCTCCCTCCCTGAGGCACTGCACCTAGAACAACTAGATTGTGTTGGTTAAAACTAAATCAATTGTAGAGTTGTCAAATTTATATTCAATGGCTATTGTTAGACCTTGCAAGAAATGACCTTAACTATTTTTGACCCGAAACCCGACTCGAAAACATTGAGTTTTGAACAGAGATTTTCATGACCGAACCCAAAATGACCCACAAAAATGGATCAAACACGACTGATCCCGACCTGACCGACCCGCTAATGTAAGAGTTTTAAGAATTTATATACTTTATTATGAAATATAATGTTATAAAAATAAGGTTATTATTATATTTTTCTTACTACTCATTTTTGGACAAAATTTAAATGGTATAACACAATCATCTTACTTTTTCAAGACTTATGCATTTTTTTAATTATTTATATTGATTTATATATCTAAAAATTACTCCAGAAATTAAACTAAAATAATCTAATATATTTAATGCATGTTTTTGATATTTTAAATTTATTCAATGAAAAATTCAAGTGTTAATATAAATTTAAAATTTTAAAAAACCAAAGTCATAACACATTGGGTTGACCCAAATCCAATGACACTGGGTCATGAATATATACTTTTCAACCTAAACCCGAATTGACCTGACCCGAAGTAACTTTAATCTGAAGTGACCGAACCTGAACCCGACTTGACCTGACCCGAAGTAACTTTAATCTGAAGTGACCGAACCTGAACCCGACTTGACCAACCGATTTGCTAGCTCTAACTATTGTGTGAAAATGGCCTTGTTTAGCAATAACATTAGAAGATATAGCTTTGAAGAAAAAAACTATCTAACAGTACCCTTTAGTATTAGCTTTTTAAAAAGTTATTTATGCTGTTAAAGTTTAAATTAAAACGCAACACTAAAAAAAATTTTATTATCAAATAAGGTGAAAGTTGAATATTTTTTACCCGTGGTTACAGCAACATTATTGGTCACGGACTCACGGTGTATCGTCATAGACGACAATTGAGTGGTTGTTTGCGACAACGATGACAATGATGGATGATCAACTATAAATTTTTATTTAAATAAGATATTTTAGAACTTTTATTTAACATAGCTGATATCTTAAATATAATGATATCAAACTTGTATAGTTATATTGCAATTTAATTTTTTTTATCAATTTTATGATTTAATTTTTACTACAAAAAATCTAATGAAATACATTTTTTAAACAGGAGTAATATAGCAGGGCACTAGAGTGCCAAATTGCCAACACTAATACCCAAAGTACTTTTTTTTTAAAAAAAAAAGAGAAAAGTGTATCGTTTACTCCCGAATTTTCTAAAAAGTTACACGATTTACCTCTAAACATTAAAATATGCACCTAATATCCCTGAATTCTTTAGAAATTGCACGATGTACTCCTGAACATTAAAAAGTACACCAAATACCTCTAAACTCTTCGGAAATTGCACAGTTTACCTCTGAATATTCAAATAAAGACGATAATGTTGGGAAAAGGTACTTTATAGAATTCACAAGGGCAAAAGAAATCATACTCGTTATTCCCGTGCATGGGATTAACGCACTCCCTATCTAGCATTTTAGGACCAATGGTGCAACATTTTAAATTGTTCAGAAGTATTTGATACATTTTTTAATGTTCATGGGTAAATCGTGCAATTTTCGAAAAGTTCAAGGGTAAACAGTGTACTTTTTAATGTTCGTGGGTAAATTATACAGTTTTCAAAGAGTTAGAAAGTAAGCGGTGTACTTTTTTCAAAGAACATGACACAATTTCCAAATTATTCTAAAACATTGTCAAAATGATTAATTTGTTAATAACTTTAATTTGGAAGTTTTTTTTATCAAAAGAATTACTCCAAAACTTAAATTGTGTATTTAGCTCCATATTTAGAATTTTACCAAAAATGGTTTTATTTCAATTTAAATGATCAATTTCTACAATCCTATCCTATATATCCTATATCCTTTATATATATATATATATATATATATATATATATATATATATATATATATATATATATATGTAAAAGAGAGTTTAGTCGTTGCAATGTTGACATGTGGCATGCCACATGTGCATCCACATATGCACCCATTTATGAAGTGGATATATGCATTGCACCTATTTTAAATATCTTTTAATACATTTGTATAAAATTTTTCATTCTTTAATAGTTCTGAATATATATTTCACCATTGTAAAATAAACTTCGTATTTTGAGTACACACACAAACACATAAAATTATTTTTATACTATCCACATCTTATTTTAGTTTATTACTTCTCGAAAAATGATTGTATAAATTTAATCATATGTGCATATTTATTAATTAAATACTTTGTTTCAAAAAATTTATCTTACTACATTATTTATTTTATTGTTACATATATTTTTCAACAAAGTGAATAGAATAAAGTTGGTTTAATTAAAGGGTGACAACTGACAAATGACATTATGACACATATATATTCTCTAATGATGTATCATTATGCATGTAACTGATCCACTTTTTATTATAATATTTTATTAATTCAAACCATTTCTATTTAATACTTAATTCAATGATCATTAATTTTGTAAAACTATTTTTTTAAATTAACATACCAATATACTCCGTATATTTCATCAGTCTAAAACATTTTTTGTCACTATTAGAAACTAAAACAACTAAAATTATGTTTATAAAATCTCAAAAGTTTAGAATATATACGAGCCCGTGCGAAGCACGGGGTAAACACTAGTCCTATCTTATCCTATCCTATCCTAACCTATCCTATATCCTATCCTATATCCTTTATATATTAAAAAGGAGAGTTGAGCTTCTGGAATTACGAAATTTGGCACGCTGACAGACAATTTTTTAACGCCTCCTCATTATTTTATTCCTTGCCGAGAATCCTTAATTCCGAATGAAAACATAGTGAATGGAAACATGAAATTTACGCCGGGTATCTTCTCTTCTTCGCCGAAAATTCAGATCTTATTCCCTTCTCCTTCTCCTTCTCCTTTGTTTATCCATGGATATGAAGGTCAAATTTCTCCTTATTTTGCCATTTTAAAGATATCATATCTCTCCTGTGGCTTCTTCATCTCTATTTTCTTTTCACTACTGCTTGATTTTAGGGTTAGATTTTTAATTGTTTATATGAATTGTTATTTATTCCGTCCTTCATAAATTTCAGGCAAAAAGTTGTAATTCCACGTTCTGCATCAACAGCGGTCAGACCAAGAAAGCTGTCATCGGATCAATAATGAAGTAGAATTACTTGGTAAGCTATTATTATCAAAATTCTTATTATTAAATAGAGAAATTGTATTATTGGTCAGATTGTATTCTTTTCTGATTTTTAATCCTATGCCATATTAGCAGAATTCTCTTTATACATACAAATTTCTCTAATTTTCCTTCAAATGTCGGATCTAGAGATTGTTTGGTAGTTGTTATCCCAAGTCCCAACATTCATGCACCATCTTAAAAACACCACGCTTAGAGTAAGGATTTAACTCATTTTAAACTTTTTTATACTGATCAGTACTTCTTTTTCCTCTCCCCATGGCCTAGACTATCCATGCTTGATAAAAAGTACTCCCGCAAGGGGGTGTTGGAAGATACTGGTTTGCTTGGGTTTGAAAGTATTAGTTTTAGATGACAACCTAACCCTTGCAATTGTACCAAAAATGTGG